TTGACATTTCATAACGTTTATTCTTTTCGAGGCATTTTATATGGAGCAAAACAGAAATAAAAGAAACTGAATCTAAAGCTGAACTGAAGCTAAATTTTATGGCACATTTTCTATTTTGGGGTGGCAAAGTGGTACAGTGGTTAGCACTGTTGCCTCACAGACCTGGGTTCCATTCCTGGGGTTCTATCTGCATGGAGTTTGTATGTTCTGCCTATGTTTGCATGGGTTTCCTCCAGATGTTCCAGTTTCCTACCACAGTCCAAAGACATGCTGTTAGGTTAATTGGGTTCTGGAAAAATTAGCACTTTGTGTTTCATGTTACTGAGAACTGTTTATACAGAAGTGGTACACCATGGGTGTATAGTAGAAGTACAGTAGGTGTGTAGAAGTGGGGCAATTAGGTGCACTACTTCATAATACCTGGGACCTAAAGAAAAAGAAAAATATTGTAAAGTAATACTGTCAAAACAGAACGAACAAAGAAAAGATCAGAGAGCAAACAAGAGCTTGTGACAACAATAGAGTGAAAAACTGGACTGGGACAGAGAACAAGATGAAAGGATCAGAGTTGGACTAACAAAATTGTGAACTGTATCCCTGGAGATAAGACAAGACCAACAGGGATGTTTTTACAATACAGGGAGATTAACATTTCTGGAGCAACACAGAAGCAAAGAGCAGACTGTGCTAGGGGAAAGAAGGTTGGGATAGAGCTTTCTCAGGAACCAAGATTGCTGGTACACTGTTGAAGGCAATAGCACACATGTCTAATGCTTTCATTCAAAGATGAAAAGCAGGACCTAATCAGTGGTCTTCTCTGTGATGCTGCCTTTAGCATCAAAACTGAACAAAAATATTAATTCATAATTCATGGTACAATTAGTTACTTGAAAACATATGAACCAAAGAACATTTTGTAACCTACTTATGTCCCTGCCTGCTGCAGTTCCTATGACCTTGAATAAAGGATATGTTTTTCATACTGCTTTTGTAACTTCTTAAGGTCTTATTGAAACACTTACACTTGATAGTTTTAAGGATGGGTTTGTGTGGTCTTCAACCCAATAGGAATATGTGGGATATCTTAGAGTGCTGCACTAGATATAATTCACAACTGAGCATGTCTCATATAGAGCTCTGTCAGCTGCTGTTGGTCCTACAGTATACCTAGTGAAGGCATTCTCTAATATTTTTGCATTATATACACTATAATGTGATAATATAGATTATTATGTTTATAATGCATTTTTACCTTCAAAAAGGTTCCAAGTCAGTTTTAAATACTTGAATCTTCTGTTTTTTGTAGTATCCAAGCCACTTTCTTATTGATCTTCATTTATCAAAATGACTATTCAATCCAGATAGTTAGCAAGTTTATGTACATTGATGATTCAGATAAATTTAAAGCCACACAATTGTGGCTGTCCAGAAAATGGGATTGTGACTTTCTAGACAAAGGGCTAACTGCCCTTTTTCTCATGTTAGGATTTTTTTTATAACACAGTTCATTTGTGATTAAGGATTAAGCCCAATCAGAATTTTGTCTTTCTTATTGTGAAGTGTTTTGTTACTTTTCCTTAAACAGCTGCCCTAAGGAAGATGGAAGTTGGAAAGTAAATTCGACCCACCACTGCTCTTTAATAGGGGTAAACATAGCACTTATTTGTCATCAACCTTCACTTTCATATAATTCCTGTAATCCTAAATTACCTAGATTGATTTTAATATTTATTCAGTGAAAAAAAATCTGATGTTGACACTGCAAAGCTAAAGGTGACAGTCTATTCCCAATGCACTGAGTCTGGTTAAAATGGAAAAGCAAAAAGGTTAAGGATAGAAAGACACTAACACAAAGAATGTCCCAAGCTAATGCTAAAATCTTGCACTAACTACATAAAACACTGCAAATAGTAGGTTTTTGTTTCCACCTAAAAATGTAAATTATTGATTGGTAACCAATTGTATTGTTGGATTGTTGGCTAAGTAATCAGGAGTGATTTTTATTAATAACATTTAACTTTGAGTCTGGTACCCCAGAAAGGAAAAAGGTTAAATATTTGTTAGGCTACTTGTTGTTTACTTATGGACTGTTAATGATTAATTTTAAGTATGTTCTTTGAAAAGCTAGTTTTTACATGCCTCATGAATTACTAGTGTAACTAAATTAAACGGTTTACAGAACAAAAAATGGATGCTAAAGGTTCTCTCCAGCTGACTCCTGTTTCATGATGACATGATGTAGCAGAATTGATATATTTGTTATAGTTCTTTTTACAATTGATTACCTAAAGTTTAAACAAATTTTGCAAATAAAGACATTTTAATGGGAATATGTGAAATTAAACATTTATTCAATTAGGTAGACTTCGAAAGTACATTTGCTAATTCATACAAAAATATGCAATATGCACAACTTGAGCAGGAATTAATTTGGATGGCCAAAACGTAACTTGTGAATTCTAAAGTAAAGCATTCCAGTTACTCCTATGAGCTCTGCCACGATCATCAATTCCTTTTAAATGCTTTATTTTAGAAATTACACCCATCATATAAAAAAGACCATACTGTCTTGGCATAGCCCCCATCTGCTTATGCCAGTTTTCATCAATGCAATTAAAGAAACTCACTAAGAATGAAATTTCCAGCATGCTGGCGGTTGGCTATATCTTTTCCATTACTTCTCCTGTACGACAGTGCCCCTCTGGGATCCTCCCAACATCCTCTGCAGACATTTCCTTACCAGGTCTGGTTACATCTTTGTCTGCGCCTCCTAGACCTCATTTTTTAACAAGAAACTGAAGATTAAATTGGCTGCATTTAGTTCTCTTAGCTATCACTCTACAAAATGTCAAAACAAAGAATTATTCTCATTCACTGAAAAATGAATTTGTCTTAAAAGTACGTTTGGGTAATTTTTTTTTCATAAATTCATAAATGTGTTTTTTAAGCGCATGATGAAAATCTGCTTTTAAACTCACTGCTGGAGGCCTTCAAACCAGATTTTAGGCTAGTGTAGCATATTTGCTTCCATGTCATGGATTGTGTGCAGGTTAGAAGTGGTGAAGTTGTAAAAGTGATGCTACAAGCCCACTTAATGATTGTTGTATTTAACATACAAATCATTTTGGGACATTGGAAAAAAATCCAAAACACCAAACTACTTCAGACAAAGAGCCCCAGTTTTGAGAATCACAGTGCTGGCAGTCATTTCTCTGATCAGGGTGAGGAATATGCAGCAAATTCCCCCCTAAGCAGTGTGTTGATGGGAACTTTCACACCTCTTCTGTTTCCAGCTGTGACTTATTAGTCATCACTTAAGGAAAATCTTTAAGTGTTGTATGCCATTGCTGTTAGTTTAAGGAAAATAAATGCACACAGCCATTAAGCACTCCTTTGTTAGCAATTGACGGATCTTGCTGTTGGATCCCCCATGACAGGAAATTGTCTCTGTTTTTACATCAATGTTACCCTTGAACTACAGAACTATCAGTGTCTGTGCCATGTCATACAGGGGTGTGAGGGAGATAAGAGACAAGTGACAGGCTACCAACTTACCAGCAGGTTCCATAATGGAACCAACACTTACCCTGCTGTTTCTCAAGCTTGATGTGTAGTAGAAACACAAATGACACCAGCAGACAAATGCTGTTAGATCTGAAAGAGTAGACTTCATTACAAATATTACAACTGTTTTTTAATGTTGTAAGAAATACCCAAAACAAATTAATTCACAAATACTGTTCAGTTATATAGAGTTTTTCAACCAGCAGAATCCCAGAGCTCTTTACTTCACAATATAGAATGGGACTGAATCTATTTATCACTGTAGCACAACACCCTACCATGGGTTGGTAGGTTTATAATCTTGTAGCTGATTACCAGGATCTGTTTTTATGGAACATTTACTTTTCATTAAAATGAGGACCATGTACTGTAGGTCTCAAAAACCTTTGTACATTAAATAGTAAACGTTACTTAAAAAATAAACACTGCATTAAATGGTAGAGAAAATTGTGTTGTGTGTGCCTAGACAAAATTTGCTTTGAAAATACTTGTTTCTTTGAATACCTTTCAATACAACAAAACCAAGGAATATAACATCTGCAAACATTAGGATTAGGGGTTTTAGTTTGTTCCTGGTTCTGCAGTTTTAAGTTTTAATTCTAGCGGTGCAAAATGTTCTTGTCTGTCTGATTACTTGTTCTTTCGACTGTTTGATTGGGGTCCCAAACACCTCTAATGTCACGTATTCCAAGATGGCAACAGTGCTCTGGGTTGTTTCCATAGTTACCAGCTGCTTTATATTTAGCCTTTTGGTAAACTAAAGATACCCAAAAGTTTCCATAGCTACTATCTCCCCCCATCACTTATTGGAAATTGGTAGAGCAAAGAGAAAGGGAAGTTTCTGTCAAACACATCTTTGCCGACTGAAAACATTTGATAACAAAACATCTTTAATTTCAGTGTCACTGGAACACTGCTCTGAAAGACTACAAATAAGCAAAGGGAATAATATTGATTAAATTAAAGTACAATATATTGAAGATCCATACTTGACAGGTAACCATGGTAGATTAATGGGCTCATTAATGTCTCAGGTTGTGGGTGTGTAAAAAAACTGCTCAAGTCATGTTGTGGATGTAGAGTCAGTAGGAGTATTCAAGAAGAGTTTGGTGAATGTTTGACATCATTAGTTTACTAACAATCTGATGACCAATAGAAGCACAGAGGTTTCATTTCATTCATAGCAGTAAACTAGATTTAGATATAAATAGCCACTGTCAGTACTATGTAATGCAAATAAATACAAACTTTCCTGTTTGGTCTGTCCTGTAATGCTATTATTCGGAAAAGTGTGGTGTTGCTCTTTACCAAACACCTTCAACTCCACCTCCATTGTTATCTAGAAAATACACTACTGTTTTGGGATTTGCACTATTTATTTCCCTTGTGTCACTCTAATCTTAAAATACTGTTTTCAAACAAAACTGACATTCAGAAGGTGTTTAAAGAATAAAATTTACTGAATAAAGCAACAGTGTGCCCTTGTTTCAAGATGGCAACAACAAACATCTTTGTAGTAAAATAGCAATCCACAAACATGCCAACAGTTAAGGCTTTTCCTCTGTGACTAAACACAGTACAGTAAAACATCATAGAAGAGAACAGCCTTCTTTACATGTTACAAAATAGTCCAGTGTGGTGATCAGTAAATTTACTTGATTTGTCCCAGCATTGATATCTTATCAATTATGAAAGACTTCATTCACATTTTAAATTGTCAACAAGACTCCTTCATACAAAGACTAATTCTGAAACAACAGAACAAAAGCACGTGAAACATGCAAAGCTGGCTTCAACATTTCTTTCTATATACAAAAACCATCGATTGATAGGCCAACTTAAATTAACCATTCTCTTTCCTTAAAACCAAACTTAGTTGAAGGAAGTTTCAAGTTTTCAAGTGAATTCATTTTTTGAATTAAAGGTTTAGGATTTCACACTGCCACAGAATTACATGATTTAATTGTAAATATAATTAACAATATATTACAACCCAGGTACCAGCAAAGCCAATCCCCCCTTGGTTTACAGTGTTATGAAACGGATATGGATATTAAGTGCAGAAAAGCATATCAAATCAAGAAATCTGTTTCCTGTTGATACTGAGATAATGTTTGTAAAGATCTTTTTTCAAAATAATGATGTCTGATTCCAGTTCACATTGTAAAACTCCTTAAAGGTGAATGCACATTTATTGCCTCACACGGATTTTTCAGCATATCATTTGAATTGCATGAGCAGCATGGTAATATTTTCTCTGCGGAGTGGTAACTCGCTTCTAGTCTTGTCAAGTGTACGGACCACTGTTTTTCAACCTTTCTTAATTTGTATTTTTACAATGGTCAACACCTCTGCATTTCACACACTGCAAGTAACTGAAAGGGACTGACTTCATGCTTTAGACACACAATTAAAAGCCCTGCCTGCCTTGTACTAGTCTCACAAGCATTTGAATTTCAAGGAGGTAAAGTCTGTCACTCTGTCTGTCAGTTCTCATTCTGAAACACCCAGCTATTCTAAACTCATTTTACTAAAAAACATAATAAAATCACATTTTTCACTAACACAAAAAATAGATGATTTGTATTAATAGTTGTTATAAAAATGTTCCTTTCTTAGTACTATTTTTACTGTTGCAGGTTACCATCATAAACATTTTCTTTGAAGATAATGCCCACAACTCCACAACTAAATAATTTAAAATAACTGCTTTGAGGCTGTAATTTTACACAGTATGCAGAAGATCTGCTTTATTGCATACTTTGATGCATTTACTAAAATCCAAAATATTGTTATGCATTTTGATATCTTGGACAACAAAACTCTTAATAAACCTTGGGATTTGCCTAATTTTTGTCTCATAAGAATAAAAGTCTTTGATTTCTAAGGGAAACTATTTAATTCAAAGCTTGTGGGACGTACAAAAGGCATATTCATACTCGGTTATATTTTTATATAAGATCTCAACTGAATGTTTTGGAACACAGCATTGAAATTCACTCTGATCACAAGTGAAATATATGTATTTACAAGGGCCAGTGATAAAGCATACATTGACAATCTTACATAAAAGATTCAACTCCATTATAGTTCAAACACAAAATAAAATATTTAGCATGCTGACAATGAAATATAGACACAAATTAAAAAAATAAAATGGGCTATGTTAAATGTACATCATATGGAAAAGCCCAGCTTTCCTGAGTGAAATTAGCAACTATGAGCATTAAATTTCAACACTGAGAAATTCAAAACCTGTTTTGTGGCTGAATTTCAACTTTCAAAATTGGAAAAGTCACATCTGTAGAAAACATCCTCAAAACTGTTACTGTAATGTAGTGCAAAATAGGTATTTAGAAATTACAAAGGGTTATAAAGCTGATCAATACAGTACAAATGAGTTGATAGCAGTTTAATAATTTGTTTTACCATAGCTATCAAACTGATATTTTGAGTTTTTTAGAGCACATCAAAACTGTGCAAAGATCAGTTAATTGGTCTTGCATTTACTATATAACACCAACGTGTACTGTATTAACACTGCAGTAGTGCAACCTGCTGTCCAATATTTACAATCTCGAATATCTAATTTTCATACAACCCTTTGCACATTTGAGTATAATTTTTTTTAACACTTTCAGAAGATTCTCGTTCGATAAATCATGTATAGCTATGAAAGACCTTCTGTGTCTTTGTGTTTCTTACCTGTGGTATTTATCTTGAATTCTCTTCACCATGGCTTAGCACACTTCTTTTGAAATCTCTTGACCGTGGCCAAGCACTGGAAAACCTGTACAGATATTTATGGTTGAGGATAATACTTCCAGCCTTGCTGTATTGAAGGATTTGTCCATATTGACAGAGAACGCTATGATGCTATTTTTCTCCTTCAAACCAAGCAAAAAGGATTGTTAGAATGTCAAGTATACTTACTAAAACTTGAACAGAAGCAATGAATGAGGTATTTTAAAAATAACAAGCTTGATTGTTTCATGTAGAATTTGCTCTACAATGAGTTCCGGAGACAATTTTTAAACCTAAATGTGAAATGTGCTTCTTTGAGAACTGTGCAAAATCTACCATAATTAACAGCAGTCTAGTGGAAAATAATTTATATCTATATTTTAGATGTAATCAATTTTGCCTTTTTAACAGTCCTGAAAAAAAATTAGATTCCCATTAATAATATGAGAAAATAACATAAAAAATAAAACATTAATTGCTCTATTAAGGACAGTTAATATTTGATTTTGTAATCACTGTGAAGCAAATACATTTAACAATTTAACAATCCTTACGCTGGTATTGTGTTGTATCGTACAGTATCTGACAGCAACAAAACGTTTGCAAATATAGTAAGTGTTTTTAAATTAAATTTGACCAAAACTGAGATCAAGCTGACAATTCCAAATTCAGAAATCAGGCCAAGCGAAAGAAAGGGAGAATGAGCCTTGAATTTGTCTCCATTGAACCAGTTCAAAATATGCAATGTCAGTCAGTTACAGAGCACTTAATGTCAAAGCCTTGTTATGCACTATTTATGAAAAAGATACACATATTTACAGGTTAGGGCAATTTGGTGCTGATAAAATACATTTTCTTTCAATGCAAATGATTGCAGGTAAAATATAATATTTATGGAAAGTGATATTTTTAAGAGGCAAATAATTTAACTTGTCTGTAAATATAGATGTAGCACAATTTCCAATAATATATTGGACTTTTGAAAACTCTTAGAAATCCAGTGGAATGTTGATTATCCGAGCAGACAGCTTCCCCATCTGCACAATTCAATGGCCACTGTAAGAGCCAGTGCAGGATTCCAAGATCTGCAGTTTCACTGCTTCTATTAAATGCCATGCAAATGAATACGAGCCAGCCACACATTTTGGTTTCATTCAAACCAATTTAGTAGGTGACGACTGATGCAGTCTCTTTATGGAAACGTGTATTTTCAATGCTAGAAACACTCTGAAGTTCACCCAAACCATAGGGAGATATGTACTGTAGTCCTACAATGAAAATATTCTATTAGTACAACAGTTAAAAGCATGCAGTATCATAGGGAAACAAAGAAGATGCTCTTTGCAAAGCACTGTGATCCATTTCAGGTATTACAAGAGCTGCAGGTTCTTTCAAATGGAATTAATTGAACAGAAAAGAAATATGTTGTCAATTCCACACTTCTGTCTCTGTATATTTACAAAAAGGCTTTTACCATCTAGCAACTGGGGTTGAATTCTGTAAGTGTGATGAGTGTGGCTCTCCATGTGACTACTGGAATTTGATCCTGGTTTCTCATGGGCTCCAAACATGCACAGTGCTGTCTCTAGACAGCAAATAACTGTGTTACACTAAAAGTCTGGTCCTTTGTAGTGGTAGAGTTTTACGGCGATTTTATGTGGAAATCTCAGACTTTCTCTAATAGCAGTTTAAGCTTTTCAGTTAGTGGCAATATTTTCAATGTGAAAAGGTAGGTTCCTTCCTTTTGTCTAAAGCCACTACTATGCACAATACATATACCAGTCTCCTCAAGTAGTTTCAGACAGTACAGCATGTCTGGAAGCATACCTAATGCCTTGGCCTCTTCCACTGCATTAGGAGGAATGACTGTCTAGCTTTCAGAGGGGGTAACATCACTCCTGTAACTGGCTCATGCACGATCCCCGTTACATATGACATTGTAAAACCTGAAACAAAACATAACACTGCAGTGCAATGGGAGTCTTGTGTGTTCTTGTAGAATTTAGGAAAAGTAAAATGAATTTAAATGTAAACAATGTTAAGCTGTTTTGCTTAAGAAATTACTAGTTTCGCATCAGCTCATTCAAACTATAGAATGTAGTATTAGAAGGGAGATTACAATGATAATACAAAATAGGTTCAATGTACATCAGTACCAATTATGGAATGTGACTGGTTCTGAAATCCAGCATTCTCCTGCATGCATTTATTGAAATGTTCAAAAATATCAATTTAATACACAGATAAATTGTATTTTTTATAATTGAACTATTGTTAAATCACTTGCCTTTTCTGGTAAAACCTTGCGTGGAGGCAATAGTTTTAAGTTAAAATGTCCAAGCAGTGCTTCACTTCATGTTGCATTGATCATTGATATAACAGTCAAAAGCCAGTGAATTTATACCTTAAGAGTCGACCAGCAACTTTAGATTTTTTTAACATTCTATTGAAATGATGCATATCCATTTAAGCCTGGTTTACATTAAATAGAAAAGAATTCAGTGTTGCATGCTTTTTTTAAACAGTAAATGCAATAGACAGAGCAGGAAAAATGGACTGAAATTGCATAAAAAGGATACAGCATCTACAATTACATCAGATAATTTACTCCTAGAGTGTACTGCTGAATATTTCAGATACTTGAGAATTAGTTTGGTCGTCAGAATCCACATCTTGAGCCACAGCGCATTCAAAACCAACCACCACACCAGTGGCAGCTTCTGACTCTCCTACATTCAGAGTCCAGGTGTGGGTATCTTCGCTCAGGGAAGTCTTTTTGCAGGGCTCAACAAAGATCCTGCGCACATTCTGTTTCGACTCTCGGTGTCGATTCTTCCCGTCTTCAGGGAGGCTAGAAGCGTGAGGTAAAAAAGAACTACGTGGTAGCTCAGTGAAAATATTCATAGCCCCTCCAGTAGTTGATTCCAGAGGTAAATCTGTCTCCCGCTGCTGAGTGTACACACCTTCTGACAACGAGACGGCCTGGCTCTCACTGTGCACCCGCAGCCAGCGGTGGTGTCCGCTGAAGTAGCTATGGTGTTGTTGCTTGGACAGCAGCTTCTTCTTACTGCCAAACTGCTTGCCACGGGAGCCCTTGTCTGCGCCTTTGGAAGTGAGTCCAGATAACGTCAAGTCCTCCATGTTCTTGGAGCAAAATTCACCCTCTGTGTCAAAGCCACTAGACACTCCGGTGTCTTCTTTTAGGCAGAAGGAGTACTTCAGGTCGTGCACCTGCAACACATCAGGGGCGCTCCCACTCAAGCCACAGACAGCCTGCTGAGAGATGTCCTGGGAAGAGGAGTAGACCAGGTCTAGCTCGCGGGGGCTCAAAGCATCACTCGAATCATAGTCGCTATCCGTAGGGAGAAAGACTTCAGAGCATCCATCTTCATCGGAGCCAGGCTGTGAATCTAAATAAGGAAAACACAGTAATGAAGAAGATTTTGCTTTCAAAGGTAGAAACCCACTATGTTTTATGTGCATTATAACAACACTTGTATGTTTAGTGTTCATATGATATGTGAATTTAACATGGGCTGTTAACAATGAACACTATGCAGCACAGAGGAACTCCATGTGATTTAGTCTTCTGACATTAAAGAAGTCAATATTCTGTAACATGCAAAAAATGGAGTTACATCAAATTTATTAATCATTTACTAAGATGAGCTAACTGCTAAGGTTATCTAAAATACAATATGTTGTTTCTGAGAATTTTTCAGAATTGCCTTTAAATTAAGCTACAAGCAAAAGGTTTTATGGTTTCTTACCGCTAACAGCCTTTCTTCTGCGCATTTCAGGTGAAGGGGAAGGAGTGGGAAGATAGTCCATGTTAGAAGACGTGGAGTCATTCTTCTCCACGGAGTGCTCCACTGTTGTGTCAACAAACCAGGTGATTGGTACGCCACCTACAGGCTGTTTGTAACGGGCGTACTGAAGGGCGTCCATGATCCACCTCATTTCTCGCCACATTTCATCCATTTGCTTTAAATTTGAAACAGAAAACACAATCAAATAAAAATGGAGAACATGTAGCACAGTAGCACAGCTCTTTCAGTCAGCAACTGCAGCCCAGAAAAGTGAACAATGGTTTCTCAATGAAAGTGTGGTAATGCTAATGGCATATCTAATGAATTAGATCAAACAATTACACGATTATTTTGATCCTTTTTTTAGGTTTTGATGCTGATGAATGGATCAGTTCCACAGAATTCACAAGTCAATTAATATACATTACATTCAATGGACAGAGAAAGAAACTGTTACCAGGGCTTGCTGAGGTAAGATGAGGTAAGACGCTTAACAAAAAAAATTCAATAGTTTTAAGATGACCAACACTGTGTGTATTTCTCTGAATAACAGACAAATACTCCACAGATTTAAACCTAGAAAAGATTCTTGTAATAGCTGAATGTACAATGCAAGGAATCTAAATAGGTTTTTCACAATATGGCCATATGAAGTGTGTAGACACCCACAAAGTCACACAAAGCAGGTCATGAGCATACGTTCAGATCTTATCGTCAGTATGACTGTTTGATTTCTACACCACACTCAAAAACAAATGGTAACATTATATGACAGTCAGTCTTGTGAGGTGATAACATGTGCTCCTGTATTTCATTTTGTATCTTGTCTTGATTTGCTTATGTAAGTTCTTTACCAGTGGTGATGCCAAAAAAATGGATATACATCCAAACTAATTATTCTTATATTACTCCATGTAAAAATACAAAACAAACTATATTCAATTTCCTTTCTAAACCAACACAAAAAGGGTCTCTAAAAAAGGGTGTCCTCAAAACTCTTCATTAGTTCAACATACCAGGGAGATACTGTAATACCAGAAAAAAACCCATAAGGAAATATTATTCCACCCTACGTATTATAAAATAGATTACCTACATTAGAGTCATATAAATGATATTATGACAAACTCTGACATATCTTGACTCAACAAGGTAATAGTTGAACATTAAGAATGTTAGTCGTGCACTCCTACACTGCTAATTCTGATTATTTGAGATGACTGCCTATACAGTACATGAAGGAATGTCTCTGAAACACAATGCAGAGTAAAATTCTGAGTTGATCAGTATTCTTGTATATTGTATATTGACCTTAAAGGTAATTAGATCTTCATGAAAGTCTTAATAAAGGCTAAGATACAGTATATGTTTAATCACATTAACACAATGACATAAAATATAGTTAAATTAGTTAATGAACAAAATGATCAAATAGTAATAGGTGGTAGAAGCAATGACTTTAACTAGACATATCCTGTAATGTTAACGAGTCTTTCCCATCAGCTTTTATGAATTTCTGCCCTTACTGGTCAGTAACATTTGAGCGTTTCCTTAAATCACAAGTATCTTTATTTGTGTAACACATCTAATCTGGTTATCTTAATCTTTTGTTACGAGTTTAATGAAGATCTAATTACATTTTAGGTCTAATATATACATGAATACATGTATATAACAAGGTTCTCAAAGTTTTTCTTGGCACTGAAATTATTTTCTTATACCACAAATGATTCTGAAATGAATCTCTAGGTTAGTATTTTTTTGACAGTTTTGACTATAGGGATACAGCATCTGTGCTGAAAGGAATGCAATCATTAGCGTAAATTATGAAAAACAATATTTTATTGTTCTAAACTACCAATATGATGACATATAGTATTGCTATGTTTATCATTTTTTCACTGGATTTTGTCACAAGAAAATTTTGAACATACTGGTATCCTTTTTTCAATGTAATCCTGACATTTCAACATATCTTTAACCTAATTTCAGTTTTGAACGGTGATTGAATAATCCTTTCAATTGAATTTTGTTGATCTTCCACTTCTCAGAAGGAAAGTGACAGAAATGGCTAGTGTACGAGGGGAAAGATTTGCAATAGATCAAAGCCAGACTCACAGATGAGTGTGACTTTGATGTATTGTTTTGAGACAATGTTTGAGCAGACAACTCAAAAACAATTCAACTCCTCTGGAATATAATTTTAATCTGACTTGGCTACAAGCCTCCAAAAAACAGATTTTGTTTCTGATAACCAGTAACACATTCATATGTGTTCTAACAGTCGAAGCTACTCAGGTGATGTTTATCTTATTTACCAGGGGGTCAGTAGTTTGAAAGAGTCAAATTCCTATGCAGAAGCAAATTCAGAGTAGAGGGAGCAAACAGATCCCTTTCTGGCAGATAGGAAAACCGTGCCTCTTTAATGAACCTTGACACTGTAGGATGACTCTTTATACAAAATATGCTGAGGCTCTTATGACGAACAGGGAAAAATGCCAAGTCAAATGGTATGGAGGGGATTTTTGATTTCAATACAAGAATTAGATCATTTGTCTTCTGTTAATGGGAAGAAGATATAAAGTGAGATCTTTGCTACAGTATAAGGAAACATAAAAGTTTATTTTTAAGAAATATGTTCAATGTACTGCAGAAACCACATATGCAACACTTAATGGACAACAGGAATGCAATTTACTTCCTAACCTTTCTATCTAACCAACTCTTGTTACCATGCATCTCTTAACATCTTGTCTGTAAACAAACTAGGTCAGATTGCTTGATATAATATGTTGAAATCCATATTGTGCATTTATTTTGTAATAAAAAAACAACTACAGGGAAATATTGAGTTAAAAACAAATGAATATATAACCTAGCACTAATAATACACTGGAACGTAAATTAAATTAGTTGTCATTTTTAGCAAAAAGATCAGTAAATCTGGGCCAAATAACTTCAACAAAAAACAGATTAGAAAGAGCCATCCAACGCTCAATACAGAGAAGGGATCATTCAATTTATAATCCCAACAAAAGGTAATCATGGAAACAACTATGAACATAATGACAATCTCATGAGTAGTTAAAACCATGTATGATTTTAAATCTGGAATTAGTTTACCTGTCTACCATGAACTATAATAAGAAAAGTTTTCTTAATTCACACTTCTTTTACAGAATTCTTGTAAAGAATAGTTAATGCAGGAGCACATATAAATTCTTGGCTATAGTGTATGCCTGGCAGTGATACAATTTTAGAAGCTGGATGAATGTTATCTATGAAACCCATCAAGTGAGATTTCTGTTTTAATAAATTTGTGATGCCTTATTTTAGCTTTATTTTAAATAAAATGTGGGGCCCAGGCCTCAGGTTATTTATAAATGATGTTTGACTACAGGACGTGCTGAATTACACAGGCCAAAAGAGAGGGCAATGAATTAGGAAGATGTCTGGTGCGTTGGAGTTCATATTTAAGTTTATTTCATAACCGTAAAATCCTAAATGTAGAATTTAGTCATTTTTACTGTTTTGGATTTAGGTGGAATGAAGGCAGGACATAAGTTTAGAATGAGGCATTTGGAGGGCTGTTTATTTCTATAACACACAATGTGTCTCAACATTTTCAAAAATAATCGTTTCAAGGGGAGAAGCAGGGGTTTGTAAAGTAGAGAAAAGTAGCACCCGGACCGCGCGGGAAATCCAAGTGGCCGATTGGGTTGGCTGACGGCAGCCTCCGGGGCGTGAAAACACCGCTGACTCGCAGAGAGTCACTTGATAGGCTCTGCTCTACTACTGGGAGCTAGGCCCTCAGGGGTAGGGAAAGAAGAGGAAGGCTCCCCTGACTCCTTGAGGATCGCTTTGAGAGGCACTTCCTCACGACCAGGCACTGCCCTCAGGGGATAGAGAGGAGGAGATAGCCCCTTGTCTCGCTGAGAGTTGCTTGAGAACTGCTGGGAATGAATCCCTCAAGGGGGAAGAGAAAGAACCTCTGACTGGAGGAATCACTTTGAGGGGCACTGCCCGAGGGGTTGAGAATGAAGAGAAAGCTGCTCGAGAAGGAAGCGAAAGAAGTCCCCTGACTCGCTGAGGGTTGCTTTGAGGTGCTGCCTCACAACTGGGATAAACCCTCAGGGGACCGAGAGAATGAGAATTAGTAAGTTAGAGTTCTCGAGAATAATGTGACCAGGCGTCCCCTCTGGCTCGTGCTTGAGAACCTCCCCAGAAAGGCTCAAGGTGGTGAGCTTCACTTACTCCCCCAGAGGGAACCTGATGCAAAGGCAACACGATAGAAAGAGGAGGAGGGAATTCAAAACTTTAGACGTGTGCGTTAGTGTGGTTAGGGTTTAAATAGGGAAGAGAAAATTGGATGATAGAGGAAGGGGCGGAACACCCCTAGCTTCTCCCCTAGAACTCCACCTATAGGTTTCCATGTAGGAAAGTGTGGTATGTGTCACTCGGCCACAGCCAGCATCCAGTTGGGCACTTCTTAGGCCTGACAATGACAAAGTCCTCCTGTTACAGACCTCTTATAGAATGCAAACAAACGATTAGTGCAAAAAGGCTTCTTAAAACACTCTTCAAAGTGGATCCAGCAGCAATGCGTTAGGGAAACAAACTTGCACTGCACAGTATCAGTGACTTTCAAAAGTCAACGTCAGCACTTCCTTTGGAAAAAGCCTTTTTAGAAGGTGTAGTAGACAAGGCACAAAACCAAAACCGAGCAAAAAGTTCAAAATAAGAAATGCAACAGGATGCATGAGATGATTTAAAAGCTTCAAACTCCCCTGCAAGCTTTCTCTTTGAAGTTTTCAAACTGCTAAAAATGAAATCCTCTGCAATTGCACAAAAGGAAGGGATCTGATCTAAACAGGTAAGGGGAAAAACCAGGTAGTGTACCACACTCATAATATAGATTGCTAAAGCTACTGTTAGTATGTCACCAACCTGTATGTAGTCTAAAACATGCTGGTGCCGTTGTTTTGCAGTTGCCACCTCAGTGTCTGAAATGGCCTCTCTCAGGGACTGCTGGGTAATGAGCGAGTCGAGGTCCAATACAGCAGACAGACGACAGTATAGGCTGATGAATTTCTCCTTATAAGTGCAAAAGTGAACTGAAAGCAGAAGACCAATACATCAATGTCTTCAATAGCACTGCGAAAAAACAGTGTGGGGAACATCATTTTTAAATGTGTCACACATGATTATTAACCAGTGCTTCAGTTGTCTTTGAAGCTCCCAAAACAAAAACAAAAAGACATATAAGCAAAGCAAATACATACTGTTTATTAGTATATTTAATTATCATCTGATCTTAAACTCAAGTTTAAAATGTAATTATTCATTTATTGTCACTGTTATTGTTATTGCCAATTCTAAACTCTAAGCACTGATTTCACACTGCCTGATGATTCCAAGAATAGGACTTATATACAAATTTAATTATAAAATTACACAGTCTACACTTAGGCCTAATCAGAGACTGCGAAACTAAAACTAAGTGAAACAGTTAAGTGTGCCTAACCCAATCATGAGTGTAACATCACGATGAATCATGATGATTTTAAAACATAGGTGCCATGTTATTCAAATATAAAATATACTTCATTAGGTAAAGAATGGTGGCAAACGGAACTGAACATTGAATATAGTACTAGAGTTTTCTAGAGCAGCATGAATAGTATCGGTACTACTTATAGATACTGTAAATAAGTTAATTTACAGTATCTTAGAATACTTGTGGTGACTTGTTCATGTAGAAACATGCATAGATAAATCTCTAAGAACTATTTGTTTCTAATTATTCATATGGATTTAGCAGTTGTTTCAACTTCAGCGTAAATTTGCAACATGCTCCTTGAATCTGTATTTCTTATGAAAAAAACGAATTTATTATACAGTGCCCTCTAAAGGACTTGGACAGAAAATATGGGCAGGTATGCCCAGGCACATTGCTTTCATGCTTCAGAATCTGCTTGAAAGTGCAAAGCTAGCCAGGAGAATTTTGGAACCAGGTTTTATAGACAGATGAGACCAAGATAAACCTTGGCTGCCTGTGGAACCGGCTCACTTGTCTTTATTGATGGTTTAACAAATGGTGGCAGCAGGACAGTGAATCTGGAAGTTTACAGCCCTTTTTTGTCTGCTTATGTAGAACAAAATGCTTCCATACTTATTTGGTGCTGCTTCACGTTGCAGTATGAAAATGACTGAGGTCAAGTTTCAGATTTAAATCCCATTGAACATCCATTTTTATGCTGAATTTAGAAAACTCCAAGAATAAGTAAGAACTCAAATTGGTAGCAGCAAAGGCTTTGTACTGAAATGTTTCACAGTTACACAGAGTTTGGTATTTTCAACATGTTGCAGACTTTGTGCACTTATTGCTTTAAAGTAACATGCAAACAAATACTTTTCAATCAGAAATTTACATAAAGTTAATTTGTTCTAATGTTAATAGCCACTTGAAATCAGTCACTTGATTGCAACAAAGTGTATTATGCTGGAATATGATGAGTATATATAACATACAGCACACAGTGTGCTATATTGTAATTATCACTCCTGGTAATCTTATGACCAGAAATACAAATTGCTTGACTGCTATACAAAAATAACAGTTTAGCCTTTTCTGTTCCAATGCACTTGCAGGGTTTTTAAAATATTTTAGTCTTTCTAGTTCTAATTAAGTAGTCTCTTTAAATTTTGTTTATATTGGCAATGTGTATTTCACCTGAATGATTTAGATCAGTGGTTCTTTAGAAATATGCAGAAATGTTTTTTTGTCTATGACAATAATTATAAGGAAGATGATTGTGATTATGATTGAGTGGGTTATTAAATTGGATGCTTTAAGATTTTAAAACATCTGTATTAGTTAATAGATGCTGAACTAATGAGGAAATAATAAAGCCCATTAACATTATTTCCAACAGTTTTAAAATATATTCTACATGATTGGGATTTTAAGTGCATGATCAATTATTTGCAACTGCCAAAGGTCTTAGACAGCCCTGTACAGGACCTACATACATGCCAGCCAGCAGCCCAGGGCTTGTGTGTGATTTATTGGTGTTCCACTGGGAGCAGGGGGAACAGATAGGAATCTGTGGATTTTAACAAGGCCACTGAGCTAATATTGTTGGTGAAACAGAAGGCAGTATACCTAGCTCAAACATTTGAAGAGGGAGGTTGAGGAACCCTGAGTGTGGGGTGTAAGGATTATTTTGTCCTGGGGCAGTGCAGACATCGTCTGAAGCGGGGAGCAGCAGAAGAATGGAGACATTGTGACCCAGCTCCAGTACCTCCTGCGTGTAGATCCGGAAGAGCTTGGCCTGTGCAGAGACACATGCGCACAAACACAGGAGGAGAAAGTTGCTGGGCTGCTCTCGCATAACATCAGCAACGCCGTCAACAAAGACAGGCCAACTGAATACACTAATTAATAGGGATCCAAAAAGTCACAGTATAGTTCAGTGTGCTTTTAAAATAAGCTTATTACAAAATTCTCTCTGGAGAGCTGGTCAGGGAGTCATCAGTATTTTCAGCCTCCCTAAGCTCCTGAAGTCAGACATTTCTAGGTGCCTATACACAACCTTCATACCTATGTAAGAAAACTAGTCTCAGCAAATACCACACAATGTAGCCACTGTTGGGGTGCACAGTCAAAATGAGTGATACAAAAGCAAGTATACATGTCATTTTTTCCTTTTTAGTCAGTTACACTGTCAACAACAGATTTAAAGAACTGAAGTTAAAAATCCTTAATATGCTCTGTCACAAAGAATCCAAATCAATCAATCAAATACTGTTGAAATTCTTTCCACTTTCCACACATCAAGTGTTTTTATTGCCCCTTCAACATCTTTATTTGACTGCAATTATACAGCAAAATCTGTAATTCCATACTGTGTAGTAGCAAACATGCTCTCTAGTCACATTTAATCAGGCTACATGGTCTTCACATAGTATCCAATCTGCCACTACTTTACTGACACCTTTCAAGGGGAAGGTGGTTGTGACTGTCCTAGATACAGTATATGGACACGTTTAGGATTTAAAGAAGAATGATGACATTAATGAAACTTAGATTTATAACATCAATCCTCATGAAAAAAAAGATAAGATTCTCAGATTACCTTACTGCAGTACTAAAAAGCATCACTAAAACTGAATGTGTGAGGAAAGCCTTTTAGAACTTCCCAGAATAATGACAAAATACCAAGGCATATCATATAACTTCTTCTGAAGACTGCAAAACTTCAAGAAACAATACACAATACTCTAAAAAATGAAACAAAAGATTGTCTCAGCCTTAGCATAAGCAATATCTATTTAAAATGTCTTGATGGGGTTTAAATATAGTTATGAAATACAGTAGCCATTTATTTTAGATTATACTTGAATATAATCCATATCATCATACAGTATACCAAAACAAAACAGCTGGTGAATGAAAGTATAATGAGGGTTTCAATGAAATCCTGTTTCAGTGAAATTATGATTTCATAGTTTCAGGCTTTTAGTTTCTTATAAAGGATGCTGTTTGTAAAAATACTGATATGGTTTAATAAATAAAGTGGATCACTCCACTCAAATTTACTATTTTCTTATTTATATATAAGTAGAAAAATACATTATTATTCACACTAAAATAGGTTATAAATATGAACATTCAAAAAGTGGAAAATGTAGTTTTGAAGTATAATACAGTACGTTCAAACATTCCAGAATCAGGAGCATAATATTTCCAAAGCACTCTTTAGAAAAATTAACACTCGCAAACTTTATTAAACTAAAAATGTAGATTCCTTTCTCATTTTTATGAGTTTGCAGCCCAAGATACTACACAATTAGTTTAGAGTATACCAAAAGAGAACTCCACACTGTCTGATTCTCACACATGACCTCATCTTCTTAATTGCAAAGTACAGGGGTACCAACACACAGTCTAAAAATTCATTTATATCACAGTGTAAAACTTTTGACATACAATACATTGTAAATGTATATTGAAGCATGTACCTGGTGCAGAGGTAGATTGATTTGTCTGAGCAAGCCTTTTACAGCCATCTGGAGCTCATAGAAGAATGGTGGAGTGTGGCAGACCGATGTCTGATCTGCACTTTCCACATAAGCCGGGCCAGACAGTTTTTGGAGCCATTCCCACTCATCTCTGGATACAGAAGGAGATACTTAAAATGAGTAAACAGTGCGTTTCTTTACTTTTCACAGTGCTGTATATTTTAATATATCCCTCCAGAATTGGGGTCAATGTTGTATTCGATTAATTCACATTAAGACAAATTTGTATAAAACAGAAAAAACTCAAATTAAGAAAATAAATAGGAAACAGAGGTGAAGATCTACCAGAGAAGTATTACAGTCTTCCATAGTTAATCATCATGTACATTTGTTTTGAATATTTCTTGTTACATTATATCTGAGGTTTAAACTTTAAAATGTTCTGCATTTTCTCTTCAAGACATTTTCTATACTTACAAATGTACACATTCTTCCATTTATTCTTTTTCTAAAATATATTTTGTACAGGTGACCAAGTCATTTTAAGCCTCTGTTCTGGCTTTGTATAATGACTCAAATTAATTTATTACTTATTAATTCTTTTTTTACTTCAGTTTCTGTAAACCCAGTTGAAGCTCATTGTTTAAGTTTAATGTGTAACTTTAAAAGATCTATGAATTTCCCATCTGCTGTAGTTATCTTCCAGTTTGATATAAACCTTGTTTCATTTTTGTTGCAATATGTCCAATTAAAATATTTAAGTTTTATTTAAATATAATGCCAAATAAAAATCTTCCAGAACATCTTCAAAGAGATATCCTTAAGTTATGAAAAAAACGACTGAAAATGTTTTTGTGGTTATGCCTATACAGGTACAGTATGTCATGGAGAAACAGCGGCTTTGTGACAAAATATTGGAGATGTTATCAAAACAAATGCAAAACATTTGCACAAAAATTCTACTGTTTAATAAAGTGATGATTTGGTGCACAAATTAGATTATCCCACTGTCAGATAAGGAATGAAAGATTGAAAGATGTGTGTGTAAAGAAACAAGGAAAAAAATAACTGGACAGCCTTGTTTGTGGAAAAATGGTTCTCTGCAGGTTTTCTTTTACTGTGTTTTTCCAAGACGTATGTATGCATCATCTCATGTGAGCTTCATGTTTGAAACATATTCTACTGCCCTACTGCCTAATGTATGAACAGCTATAGTAAATTTACTGTTTAACGGCCACATTAGGTGAAAGGATAATAAGTTCCTTGTCTAGATCGACCCACTGGGGTCACAGTCATGACCTTAAATTAAAATAAATAAATAGTTCATTACTGAGCAAAAACAAATAACATTTTTGTTTTCATATAAAAACTTTTCCAAATATGGGAAAAAAATCAGGTTGAAACTGTCCATTACAATTATGGCCTGTATTTTCTCAAACAGTTGATTTCCATTTTTTATACTCGACCTCCAAAGATGCGCTCCTGTCATCTTCAGGAGTTAGTTCACCCTCACACAAGGGGAAGGGACAAATTCATAAATCATTATCATATATTGAAAGGAGTTCTGTTACTATGTAAAACCACCAAACGTGCCTCCAAATCATAGTTTTAAAACATCCCATTCTGGAATGCAAGTGACTTTTAAATATACAACTTCTTAAATCTGGGTAACATTCAATTAGCAACAGTATTTAATTTTATATTTGTGAAGCTTTTTCCAACTTTCAATGGAGGGAGTCAGATGAAGAAAAAATGCAGCTGTAGTTTTTCTCTGTCTTTTACACTTTCCAATGCACACCAATTCTGTCACCACTCCAAAAATACCAAACCAGGAGCCTAGTGGTTTACAAATATTCCTACCTGGCTGCCGCAGACCTAGTTAAGAGGAATAATAACATCTGATAGTCCCCAAATAAACAATTCCTAATGAAGGGCCTCCTATCACAATATGTATCAAATATGATGAAGTTCTTCAGAAGATTATTAGAATTTGCAGCTCTACTTGATTATATAAAACATGTTTTGACAGCACACACAGTGAGAAATGAGGGATCCACTGTAACACAGAAAGTAACGGGCTGTCAGAACATGGACATGAAGTTTAAAACTGTTGTACTACAGACTTCAAAGTAAAGCGTCATTGTATTTCCGTGAATCTGTGTAATGAAAAATGTATCTTCTCAAATCCTCAATCAAAATCATAATGTCTAGGTTTAAAATAACCTTATTTTAAAAGGTGTTTTGACTCTCAGTTTTGCTGAAATTGACAGACACCCAAGGTGGCCAATGTATTCCTACTTCCAGGACAGAGCAATCTAAGGTGGATTACTCTCACTACACCATATTCTTATGTATAAGAAATAATATAGTTGGACTGATACAGTAGGTTTTTCTTGGAATTTGTTTACTGATGACAAAGTGAAAAGTAGAACATTTTATCCAACTTCAACCCTCCATTTAAAAGGAAGAAACTAAAACCCAAAATATGGAAGGAGCACAGAAAAGCTTTCCTAGTGTTTTAGGTCCAGAAATTTTAGAAAAGGAGAATTGCTACTTAGATGTGAAGACTCAATCTTGACACACCTCAACCTCACCTTATGCTTTTGTACTTCTTTGACCACTAATTTTCTCCATATAGCTGGGTTTCCACTGTGATATCATATGGTGGACAAAATGAAACCTAGGCTTAATCTACTATACTGTGCCTGTCCCATAATGTCTCTTAAATTGAGGGCTGCCTTTGTCTCTCTAATGACCTTCATTGCTGACCATTTTTTCTCCATTCTGCCTCCCTGATGAAAATATGAGAATTACAAGATGGATATTTCTATATTAGCTTATACCAAAACCCATTTACCTCGAAACATTGCAGTTGTCTCGGATTTTAAAATGACACAGAACATTGGGCAGCCTCTGAGGGACAAGGACTTTGATCTGGTCTACAGAACTGCAGAGCTTCAGGTAGCCCAAATACAGGCCTGGAGATAGGCGATGCTGGCTTCGTCTCTGATAGGACAAGATATCCTGTGGGACACAAAAACCACACACGGACATTACCAAAAGAAACGTTCTCCTTTCTTGAAGACTCATTTTAAGATTCAACAGCACATACTAACATATGTTCAAATGACATTCAAGCCAAACCCCTTGAGAAAAGATATGTTTGTGAACACCAAGAGAGTGTCTCTGCCTGATTACCAAAGTAAGGCAATTCTGCAGCTAGAATAAAAGAATTTATAGATTCAGATCATATTGTGAGGAACAACTAAAGAAAGTCATCAAATCCAATAAATGTCACTGTGGGAGCAAATGCCCAGGTATAAATTATAAAGGAACTTGGAAAGGGTCCAAATTTGCTAATGAAAGGCTAAACATCTCTTCTGTGAAGCTACTAAAAACCATTATGTACTTCTTCAAAAATTAAAAGAAAACTTTGCATAACTGCAAATCATACACATATTGAGACTTTATAATTACCTATCTGCACTTCATGTATTTAAAATGTTATAAGTCAGGGGTGTCCAGGCAGGTCCATGTCTACGGGTTTCATTCCAAGACTTGACTGTTTTTGAGCTAACTACAGGTACCTAACGCAGCTCATTATTGGTCTAAATTACCAATTTAACAATTCCTCCCAGATCTTCAGATGCTGCTGCTTCTTCAGGACCTAAAAAAACCTGCATATACAGCAGGCTTCCAGTACCAGCATTGGATGCCAGTGCTGTGATCCAGCTGGACGATATGTTTTAATTAAAAAAGAATAATGCACTTAAACTCATGTGCACTTTTGAATTAGCACTATCCTTATATTTTATATAGGCTTACAGTAGTAAGTCACTGTAAAAGTAGAGTAAACTGCAAAAAAGAGTAAAATCAAAATTTGGAACATGGTAATGTACAGAGGTATGGTAACCCATGTTATATAATGTAGCAAATCTTGGCAAGGTGAAGTACATAGCATGGCAAATTCAAACGAAAGCTACAAAGCAAAAAAAGTAAATAAGCACTTATGCTCATACCTGGATTGTAATCAGCAGTATATCTAAGGCAGTTGGCTCCTCTGGGGTTGAGAGGGATTTCCTCTGACTCTGCAACTTGGAAATCTGCATCCATTTGCCATTGAAGAAGGAATAGAGGCTCTCCATCTCTCTTATTGTGACTATCAGTACATTCCCATGCCTGTCTTTAATGGGTTCATAATACACACGTCCCAGATTATGGGTCCCAAGCAAGTTCTGCAAAGCAGTAAAAAAATAATAATGACTAACTGGGAGCAATGTTTCATTCCAGCACTGTCAGGAAATCCAATGGATTTGGGCAAGGGAACAATACAACTCCATATTTTTGTAAACTGATGGAAAGAAGACTCATCTTTACACCGTGAATGGTCAATCTGTAACATGGAAATAGTTTGCCTAGCTGTGCAAGTTTCTTTTATGATCCAAAAAGGCAATGATGGCTTTAAGACATGCTCGGATGTTTAACTGGATGAGTTAAGTCCTTTCTGGATGACATATTATTAAAAGGATTCTAATGCTAATTACACCACTAACTCTTTTAGTAACACGGAAGTTTAACTAATGCTACAGCTATTGAGCCGGCTCAATATTAAGTTACTGTATTTGAGAATGTTTCTATTAATATTTTTCTTTTTGTACCAAATTAAATTAGAGGACAGTTCTACTCTTCCTGTAATGCACTGTTTTATCTCATATCTATTGTTAGATATGTAGTATTATATAAAAAAAATAATACTATACCTAATTGCCCCTATGTACTCTCAAATACATGGGCAGTTCTGCTGAAAGCTGGGAAATCTATGTCCAGAATACTTGCTCTTTCCTTGCCTCTCATTTTTCTCAGAGGCAATCATGTCATTTCAAAGTCGGCTGTTTTTTTTTTAAATCACCAAGAGAGACACTTAATTGATGGCCTCTTTCTGAGCACATTGACTAATAGTTTAATTTCCCTCTCATAATGAGCTGGCAAACAAATCCAGGATCCTCATTAAGGTCCCTGCTTGGACAATTCAGTCACATAAGAAGAAAAATGATGAACAGCAGAATTCTCGCTGCAAAAGAGCCATTTATATGTAACAGCGAGAGAGTACAACTGGACAATATGTCAGCTAGGAAATGCTACCAGGTTTCTGAGAGGTTTCTGAGAGGAGTTAGGTGTAAAACGGCCTCAATGGAATTGTAACACTTAACACAATAGAAGATATTCTCTCAGTCTGTGGGGAACTAACGAGGCCCTTCTGCAAATTGCGAGTTGATCCAATACCCCTCGATGTCTGGTTTTCCTTTACTTTTTTCAAACAATGATTCACAAATAATTGACTTTTTATTTTACTTTTAGATTTCAATAGCTCATAATAATAACAATAATAATAACAATAATAATAATAATAATAATAATAATAATAATAATAATAATAATAATAATAATAATAATAATCTATAACTGGCAAGAATCTGAAGACTGCACTCTAGCTGCTTCAACATGTACAACTTCTAGAGCCCTTTGTCACTTGATGTGTTGCACCTGACAGCAGACGTAAAGCCAATTTGAGGCGCGGCGGCACGTCTCTCACTGACACAGCTATAAGCCTGCATTTGGCCGGCAAATGACAAGAGTTGCTATTTTTCCGGAAAACTGAGTAATCCTAACTAGCTCGCCAGGCTCAGCCAGGCAGTGATACAACCCAGCTCCAACCTGCAATGTCTGGATTACACAGCTCAGCCTCAGGTCTGAGGGAGTCTCACTACTGGTTGAGCCTCTTGGGAGCTTCTGTAATTATTTTTGTACCGTAAAGGTTACACAATTGTTATTTGTGCTATTTATTTTGTGTTAACAGTTATCCAGTTAAAGCATAACAGTCTGCTCCAAAGAGTTACTTTTAACATTTCAGAGTACAACTAGTGCACAGCGATGTGAATATTCCCGTTGGCAAATAATGGGAAACCACTTGGATGTCAAATCCCTATAATAGTCAATGTAAAGAACCTCAGGTTTTGTGGAAGGCTGATAATCAACCATATTAAGTACTGTACAGTATGTAACAGACAGATGCAACAGAAGGGGTTCTGAGTTTTGTGAAGGATTCCCTAGGAAAGCTTGCTGGCACAGTGCAGGATGAATTGAGGCTGTGGATTTTCACTGGATTTAAAATAGTTGTAAAAACCTGAGGACTGACAATCACCTTCTTGAACTGAATGTTCTCAGCAAAAATGTGTTTGAAGAAATCTATATGTTCCATATCCATTTGTTAATCTATCCACTATATATGTCATATACTGTATGTAAACTCTATGTTCTGATTCTCCCTTTAACTCCTGCCTAACCCAGACTGGGAGTTAGGGTGGAGCGGCACTGACCTGTAGCTGTCCTGCAGCAGACAGCATCTTCTGTCGGGCTTGAAGAGTGGACGAGGAGGACATAGACACCGACATGCTCTGCCTGAGCCACCGGACATCTTCCCACATGCAAGATAGCTGCCAAGACAACAACCTTGATCTATGTCATACTCTAATTGTTATCAGTGGGTGCTGCTCATGAATGGACACAGAAGAACACATTCATCCTCAAAACCCTTAGGGCTAACCTAATGGTGTACAAAACTCACAGGTGAGATACAAATTGATTTGTGCTTCTTAAATTATTATGCAACAGTTTTTGGGCATATTATGTGTTTTTATTTAATATTTATGACATAATGCAGAAAAGACTCTCAATATTTTGGTAAGGAAATTTTATTTTGATGTGGGTGCAATATATTACAATCATCACAACTGTGATGTTTTATTTAATTTTGTACTCTGAGCTAAATCCTGTACAATTCCTAACTATTTAAGAAAGAAAATGGATTTAATCTCCCCAAATTACCAAATATCTAGAGCAAATGTCCCTTGAAATCCTTAATATCATGTCCTTTCCTACCACTTTACACTAGAAGCCAGTATATAAAGAAGAAAGTTCATACCTTGGTAAACCACAGAAAGTCTTGCATGATGGAACTGGTGTAAGAATCATCTATTTCTACTATTGGTATCTGATCCTCATTGGTCACTAGAAGACTGTCCTTGTGATAAAATACTGCTGCCACATACAGTCCCCTGAAAGTAAACGGTAAGACCCTTACTGATTTAATCGTCTGGAGACATACTACAGTGGTGCTTGTTTCACACAGTTCTTATGTTGAGGGCGTAAGACAGAAAGCACATTTAACCATTAAGCCATTCATGCCTTGAAGGCAGTGCAATGAAAAGAGCTATAATGTGAATTCTGCGTGTAGTTTTCAACAAGGTCGATGCAATGCCCAATAACATGAACTACAAAATTCAAATATATGTAAGAATAACTTACATCTATGGTTTCAAGGGAGAGAAAAAATAAAAGCTATTTTTTAATTTCAACATATATAAACATATCTGGTAAAAAAAAGTGCCAAAGCAAATTGCTGTTATGTTTTCTGATAATTTTAGCTTAATTTAAGGCTAAGATACATACTGGATTCTAACAATAACTGGGCTTATTGGAATAAATAATATCCTGTTCTGTAATTAAGCACTAACCTTGGGTTGCATATGGAATCAAGAGATATTAGCATACAGATGTTGAAAAATTTAGAAATCTAAATATGAAAATCAGACTGTATAATTTAAACAAAAGGCATAATTGTGGTTATATACTAGAAAGCATATATTCTGCCTTGACTCCATTTTCATGTGCAAACATTTCACACTGGATTTTAAAGACACAACATAAAACCTTTACCGTTTTAGTGTTTTCACAAACTTGTTTGACGAATGAAAAAGGTGTTTTAGGCTTCTTGAGACAGACTGCTTGCGACTAGAGTTCTGTAACTTAGAAGTATCTGAAAGACACAAACACAGTAAGCACATTAATCACCCATACAGAACTGCAGTGATACTGTGCATAGGTGCCACAATCAGGTTATGTTTTGCATGTTGACATTAAGTGTTTTGCATGTTTACATGGTAGGTCTCTGAGCAAACAACAGGTATTTTGATTTAGATAACTGACATATTGTAGCTATATGCACAGTTGCCTTTTCTTATATTATTATTTTTTAGAATCTGTCATGTTGAACACTACAAACCAATGATACATGAAATGATCTTGATTTCAACATGCAAAACTTGTTTTCAATTCTGCGCAAACAAAGAACGGTGTCTTAGTTTGAACATATTTCTTTTGAAAGGTTAAAATGCCAAGTGCTTTGGCAATGGAATAAGATGGCCCATATGCAAAGGGGAAGAGATGAGTTATTGTGCCTCTGCCTTGAAATACCTTCCATAGAAGATATAAGTGGATATATGGGATATAGGTTATGACTGGCAATAAAACAGGTAAGAAATATTGTGCATTAATACTCCCTAGACTAAATACAGTATTTACAAACCTGATAAGATTTCAAACATTAATGATATCTGAAACTACTTTTACAATCTAAGATAAATGGCATCATTTTGAGATGCAAAATGTGTTTCTGACCAAAGCTAACAAAAACATGCTTCAATGTTAAGAACAAAAACGTGTTTGATTATTACAGTAAACAATTTTTAATACTTCTCTTCTACTGTGTCAGCTTTAAGAGTATATTTTTTAAATTCAAAGACAACATACTGTAGTATGCAGTTATTTTCTCCTTATCAGTGAATTGCCACGTTAAGAAACATCAGAGAACTGTGGTTAATAGAGCCAAGAGTTCACAGAAGGGTTGAAATGTAACATACAAGAAAGGGACACTCAATTCATACAGGAAACTCAAATGGGTACCCAAAATAAGCATTATAAACACAAGCGGTGCCACTGATAACAAAGGTCAGTTGTTATGAATGGGTTCAGTGCAGTCGAGCAGTTCTGATTTACCAGTTATCTCTCAGGTTTCAGCTGCGTATCTCCTAGCTGAAGCAAGCATATCGGCAGAGATTTCAGTGATGCCAATCTTCAGACGTCCTTTTCTTTAAATTAAGCATCACGTAATTGCCTTCTAGTAAACATCAGGCAGACGGAACACTTAATTCCTTCGAAACAACTGTTTATGCCAGTAAAGTTGTTGTCAGAAATATGTAATCACTGCAATTTTGTCACGCTACTAGGGCTGCGCTCTGTGAAAATGAATGAACAAATGACTTTGCTCTATTGAATGTTTTGGCATTTTCTAAAACATTAAACCTAAAAAGACAAGAGTGGAACAAATCTCAGGATCATTCCTTGTCTTCACACTCTACTTCCATGTTGAAGCTATGATTAACAAGTACGCAGAAGAAAATCCAAGTCTGTAGACTGTTCTAACTGTTCATTTCAGTAATTAAAGAGGATTGTGGAATTAGTGGCTATTTTCTTGTATTCACCTTTAAAACCAACACACAGGTACTGAAACATTAGATACAATTTATTTGTAACAATTACATTTGAACATGTACAAGTGAACATACATCACTTCATAGATTTATGATACATAATTACATAAAGCTTCAGATATAATTATTCGCTCACTTCACCTGATGAAAGTAATTGACTTGTTTATTAAATGATTTAACCAATTTAAGTCAAAGCAAGTTTGTTAAAGACCTGAAAACTAACACACTCTTACATGATTTTACTTACTACTGTAACAGCTTAAATTTAATTTGCTATGAATTAATCATTCAAAAAAGTAAAAGTATAAGTGAATAAAATTAGAGGTTAAAAAACTATATGTATTCAATTAATTAATTAGTGAATATCCTTGTTAATAAATAGTCTACATAATTCCTAATCCTGAGACAAGTTACTGATTACTTCCTTGATTAACTTTCTTCCTTTTGTACTGCCTGGGAGGACACTGAAGAGAACAGAATTTTTGCAAATAATGTCATGGCTTCCGTCAGTATTAGCCAAGCACTTTGCAAAATTCTGGAGTTCGACATCAGCAAATTACAAACTAGAACCTTTTGTAATTGTTTTGAGAGGAGGGCATTTGGCCAATCTAGCCCATTTGGTAGTCAGTAGTTAATCGATCCGAAAATGTTATGCAGCCATTTCTCGAAAGAAGACAGGGTGAATGTTTTAAGCAAAACTTACATGAGGAAAACAGACACAAGGAGTCAAGAATAGGAGCCAACAAGAAAAGGTAAAAGCAAATTTACAGCTTGTGTTCATCATCCCACAACTTTAAACTAGCTTTTTCACCATTTGTAGGTAAACAATAATGTAGAATGCTGACTTATCCAGCTCTCCACATTTAAAAAAGCATTGCCTAAAGTTTTTATTGACAAAGACAATGCATCTCTAAGATCTAATGAAGTGCAGAAGAAATACATTGAATAGACAGTAACATTAACTACCCTGAAAAATTGGACTTTAATATGGAGTCATGCCCTAGCAAAATAAATTGCTTTTCAATTTATTTATAGAAAGCAGGTAGTTATTTTCAACATAAATATTAGTCAACATTTGTCACAAGTGATTTACTACAGATAAGAAATTAATGGTGGATGTGCTTACTTTAAAAAAATATATTTTAAACATAAATTTTACCAGTAACAATTGGGCATATGTCCAAAACTGCAAATATCTCAAAATTAGTCATCAACCAACCAAATCCCCTAAAAGACTTTTTCACTTTCCCATCTGGAATGTCTAATCCATTCCATGGAGCAAAGTATCACGTTAAACAGAAGGAATCAGCATAAGTACAAAAAATATCAAACAAGTATACCCTGAGCTTAAGAACAGGTGGAGAATAATTCAAATGAAAACACCTCATTAAAACAGCGAATGCAATGTATGTGAGAGTCAAAGACGCAGATAATTGAGAAGGAGCCATGACTCCTATTGCGTGTGTGTATATATATATATTATTTTTGGTACATGACAGCTAAATGTTTTTGATAAGTGGATTGTACCTTGTATCTTCACCGCAGTCCAGGTGAAATGTCATAGTGACTAAATTAAAAAAGAAATTCCTTTCTCATTATATAATATAAATTACTTCTGATTAATGAGGAGGTGCTCCATCTGTCTACATCACAAACAAAACATAAGCATGAAACAAGGGCTTGACAGAGGCCGCACTAAGGAAAGAATGGTGGGGGCAGGGGAGACTTCCAGACTTCCATTTTTTTATATGTTAATATGGGTCAAACTTGCCTTTTCAACACTTGCAAAGGTAGAGGGCTCATCTGTAATGACCATGGGCAATACGTTCCAACCTTTCATGACAGAAGCTGCTTATATAGCTGGGTAGTCAGTGCCTGTATGAGCCAGCTGTGTTGGGGGGTAGGAAAGGAGGGGGTCTGTCCGTCTCGAGCTGGAACACAGGGTGCTGTGTGCACTACACACCCCTAAGTCTGTGTGCAGACTCTCAGTTCTGCATATACACATCATAAATTAAGATAACCTCCTGTTAAATGAATTTATTTTTCTCATGGTTTTTATAGAAGTGTCATTGTACCAGTACTGATTAATTCTCAGATTTATTTTTGAACACCAACTCTCCAAAAATAAACTGAGTAAATACAGAACGTTCTCAAATATATTGCATATACCTATGAACATACACATGGAGTATGTGTATGCAAATTATGAATGTAGAGAATTAATTTGGAGGATTTGTACAAATTCATAGATTTAAATTAATTAAATTATTGAGTTTTCTCAAAAAACAGTTGTGTTCATATTAGCTTTCTAATTTTTTTTATGAAACAGTAGCAATAGTTGAAGCCATGTGAAAGGAGAGAGGTGTAATTCTTACACTCAAGAAATCACTGCTGCTAAAAACTGATCTGAGTTGGAAATAAATTAGTTTTCTTAGCAGGAGGCCACATTTGGGAGATTCTGTCAAATCCTCAGAATGGCATGATTAAGGGGAAAAAAGAGAAACCTACTCTCATTTTCAAACAAATAAGACCTTTTATATAAAATCAATTATACGGTATAGTTAGTGAGACTGGCAGCATTCCCTCTGACATCATTAATGTTGACTCATAAACAGATGAGTGATGAACAAGTTTTTTTTCTTCTTAGACAAATGCATATATAGTTTGGTAATGAAGTTAGTGCTTGTGAGAGCTGAAGGACTGTCAGCACTAGAAACAGCAGGCCTCTATCCCTACAACCACCAAGTGGATTAGAAACAGGCTCTTTGCCAGACTAACCCACAGACACAAGACGTCTGCTTGGACCTATGGATGGTGTACTTTAAGGAGGCTGCTATATTGCAACTACCCATTTCAAAAATATTTTGCTTTTAATGATTTACAAAGATACAGTGTATGGGTGGACCACAAAATATCTACAGTAAAAGAACGCAATATAAAATCTACAAAATAGACAGGCTTATACATTAAAACATATATCAAGTCATGTTTGCAGACCAGTTTATAAACTCAAAGAATTTTAGTATCCATAAAGACGTAGGTATGCATATTGTTTTTTCAATTGAATACAGTACTTATGAAGTGCAATTAGATTTATTTATTGGTGAGGTAAAAAAAAAAACATTTTAAGAAAAGACTAGCTGACTTTTAGTGAAGTACCTGTAGTGAAGGGTATACAAAGAAAGTATATCTACTTTATTTCTAATTACTAATGTCTGCCAGTAATACATAATTAACAAAACAAATGGCAACAAAACAAAAAAAACATTTGGAAAACCATCAGGAAATATGTGAAAGATATCAAGAGATATTCAAAATTAACACAAAAACAAGCAAAACAGACTTGCAGTGAAAAGGAATAAACATGTACCAACTAAAAGTAGAATCTGTGACTTGAAAGGAACTTTGTAGCAACAGGATAACATGGTTCTGTCTGCTACCAGAGACAGTTGTGTGCGCAAACACCTGATGGCAGAAGGTACCTTTCATTCTGCACTGCAATCTAAAGCAAATAAAACAGGACTTTTTGGCCTAGAAAGACCAAGATCACAGTGAGCTGGGTTTTTTTCCTGTCATCCTACTATTTATCTTGGCATCACCCTTAATCATCTCACTTTTTGTAAAAAAAATACTACGATTCAGTTGATTTTTCCTACACCGCTATGACCCAAACAACATTATTAATTTAACACAGGAAGGTTTGAAGAGGACTGATACCCAGATACGTAGTTGGTCCTCTGAGTCTATATGTTGTGGCAAGATGTCAAGAAACTTTTTTTTATCTTTGGTTATAACAATACAATTTGCACAAACAGTTGCTTCACAAAGTCATGCCGCATTATATAACTTAAAATATAAATATTAAAAGTACAAATATTAACATGTAAGTATTATTCATTCATTCAAAATTAAGTAAAATGAAAACACTACATAATACATATACTATACATATTGTAAAACAACAGAGTTAGCAAAACAACGATGGGAAACCATGTGTACTATTGTAGCTCTTTCCTCAACTCAGTTCATGTCAGATCAAAGAGACTCACACATTTATGCAGGGAACAATTTAGGGAATTGATCTAAAGAATATGTCTCTGCACTGTGGGAGGAAACTAGAGAATACCTTTTAGAAGGGATTCTAATTTAGAGGCTTTCAGTCATAATCCCACACATAGTAGTCTCATACTGTACCATTTGTCCTCAGACATAAAATGTCCATACCTGCAGCTGCTCTGTTACCGAGCAGTATTACTTCCCACTTCTCACACCAATGTAACGCCCGGGGGCTCAGGCGGGCGCCCTTGCCGCATTAGGTCAGCCCCCACCGTCGGGGGCTCGAACCCGGGACTCCCACGTCACTCAACAGGGACCCAGCCCGGTGCAACATTACATAGCATTTATATTATTACTTGATCATTACTTTCTGTGTTGTTCATTAGTATTCACTACATCTGTATATTATAAACTAGGATGAAAGTATGTATACAGCAATTGTTTATGTGTACAGGATAATGAAAACACCACAATGAAGATATTTCTTTCTTGTTTTGAAAAAAAATTACATTTACTTCTAGCAGTATCTCCATATCGATTGAATTTTGTATAATTACATAACATTCAATCCATGAAAAAGGTTCTGCTATAGTACTAGCTGCTAACTGACCATTCAAGCCCCAGGGCTAAGGCACACACCTCCATAATATTTCTATAGGTCAACAGGCCACACGCTTCTTAGGCCAGAATACTAAGCCAGCAATGTAAATAGTTAATTGCAAAAAAAGTACACTTTGACTACAGGCATCAAAATGGGTTCTTTTTACACATGTACCCTTTGTTTTACTTTTAACAAACAACCACCTCACATCTTCTACAGTATGTATAATTTCTAATTACAGGCTGTTTATGCATACAGAGTCTGGTCAGGTAAAAACAGACATCCAAATTGTAAAGCACATTTACATGTACATTGTGCATGTCTATTTATTCCTAATCAGGCACTGCGTAGATTTATTTATATACTACTGTGACACTGCAGTGTGGGAAAGGAGCAGGGTAGTACATCTTGGTTCCTTTCTGCTGCAATGTCACAACACACAGGTTTATTAATAAGTAAATATAGACACATGTACATATCAAAGCAATGTTTTTCTTATATAATTTCCTCATTACATGTTAGTTTGGATGTTTGGCTGTGGTGTTCATACAGTAGTTGTGAACGTTTCAGTTTTCTGCTGAATGTCCTTAATTTCAATAGACTACTGAACTGTTCGCCCTGAAGCTTGTGCTAAGAAAAGGCTTCCCTGAGTTATAACTATTAAAATACAAGAACAATACATGCATTAACATGCTTTGCACCATTATCAAAGTTTCTTCACATAAAAATGCTATTGAACCTAAGTCTCAAAAGCTATGCTGGCTGCTGGTGTTAGCACAAGTGCCGCAACTCTGTACAAAGCGTTCCTCTAAAATCACAGTACATGTAAATAATGCTCTGCTCTGATCTTTGTTAACCACATGCTTACACATTTGCCTTTGCTTCAGTGCTTTAAATGGTTAACACAATCTGGCCCTCTATGTAAAACGTTCAGATTCACAAAGGTGCAATTAACATGCAAAGCTAACAATTCAAAAACAGGTCCTCTGGAATTACATGATTTCGATTTGCTTTAAATGCTTTACTAATAACAAAACCATGCACCCAATTTATACACAGATAACACAAAAAGAGAATCAGTTCAACTGATCTTATAAAAGTCACATCCTCACTAAACTAGAGGATTTGAGGTGTTAAAACCTCTGCTCAATCTCAAGTTTTGTGCTACCTACTGGCAAAACTTTTCACAAAGAATGGAAATATTCTTGCCGAGATGTTCATATTCTTAGTAAATGGATCTGAATTGCTCCTTTATGTGCGTATTTTTATAAGCCTTGTTTTGCTCAGAATAAAGCACTCTTTATTATCCTTTGGATTTTAAAATATGTATAAATAGCTTAAGTTTTCTTATTATTTATACATGAAAAATACACACTACCTCTGTTTTCTCTAAATTAAATTGCTTCGCCTTGATGTCTTCCTTAAAAGCCTACTTTTTTTTGTTTGCTTTGCCCAGTTCCCCAAATCTTGAAAGAGGTGAACCAAGCACTTGGGAAAAGAACCACTTTATTTGTGTCTTGCAGGGGGCATTGAATTATTTAATGATCGGGTGAACAAGTAAGCCAAGGGGAAACACTGTGCTTAATTCCATACAGTTTATTTAATTTACTCACAAAGACATAAGCTAAAGAAAGGGGGGGGGGAGGAGAGGTTCCCTGCCAAAGTCACTCTAAGGGTTAAAGTAAGACAGTAAAGTGATTCCAGATGTGCCAATATTAATAATATCTCTTTTCCTGATGAATGGGAAGGTATGACCCAGTTAGAATGCAGTTAAAATTACAGGCGCCACAGAGCCCCTGACTGTTGCCCTACCACCCAGGAATGTTCTCCTCACCTCCGCAGCTGTAATGGTGATGTGTGGCTCGAACCTGCTGAAGCAGACGTTCCATCGCCTCAATCTGCCCCCTGTGCCGAGGTTCTCTCCCATCACACTCTTTCCAGTCTGGAGGGGGGGGGAATGAAACAGATATACAACTGCATGAATCAAAAACCGAAGAAACGAAAAAAAATGGAACGGTCTTTTCCCCTTTGGAAAGGCAGCGCACCCGTAAACACAACAATTAACAAAAGCAACAAAATAACTACATTTGAGTTCTGAATTCAGTTTGACTTATTCAAGAACACAGAGGTTGAAACGGTACTTTTGTGCTGTAAAACGATCTTCCATCATGAGGAGATGGAATGGAAATCAGAGACAATCCTTTTTTGGGGGGGAGGAGTGATGCGTTTTATTTGTATATAACAGACAAATATAACTGTTCACAGTTTTTGCTTGCAGCATGGACTGCTTAAAAAGGTTAGTGAAATCAAGATATGAGCATTCAAATAGGACACACAGGAAACATACTGTAAATACATATTTGTGTTCTATAACACCAACTATTTGGTCAGTATATTAATAAAATGCTAATGAAAGCTCATACATTCCACTAACTTGTATCCTTCAATTGCTTGTAGTGTATTACATTTTTTGACTGTTTTATTTTTTGCTAGTATTGCATAGGATATTAAAGCTGTTTTTTTATTTCTAAGCTATTTTTGTAGGTACTATGGTACATGGTACCAAGGTAAAACAAATGTCAGCGTTAGATATCGACTTAGATCCAAGCATCCAAGCAATAAATGAAGAATCAGGAGTCTGATCAGCGCTAACTTAGTATCAGGCACTAAGATGATGACAAAACATTAAAGGCTAGAGTTTTACAATACTGGTTCTCTCTAAAATATATAACCTGTTTACATATTCATAAGCATTATAATATATATTTCATTTCACTTGATATATAGTATAAATGATATCCTGAAAACTGTTCTGACAAGAAAATAGCTTTTTACATTTGTGATTGTCAAACCCATAATGGCTGAGTTTAAAAAAATCCCAACTGCATATTATGTGAATGTACAAATGCTACTTTTTGGAATTCATTCACACTGAGCACCTTTTAGCAGCTGTTGAGTTACATCGCTCAAGGTTACTTACAGATTGTTTCATGAATGTAAAAGGTTCACTTTGACTTATAACCTGTGAATAGTGTTTGGATAACATCACTTCACATTTAATCGAAATTGTACCTGTTTTTCTTCACATAAGCAACTTACTTGAGGGCACTGCAAAAGGAGGAGTAGCCAACTGTGCTGGGCCCCAGCCCTTCATATTATAGGCAGAAACCTGAACATAATATGCCTTGCCCTGCAAGATAAAATTAATAATATATTAAATCAATAACAATTAAGTTTGAATATTTCATGTAGTAACAACTTGCAATAAACATAACTGCACATATGCGATACACCCTGTACTTGATTATCTGAAATGCAACAAAATATGTTGCCAGCAAGTTAGCTTTTCAATTACAGTATGTATTATCATAGGAGATGGAAATAAAAAAATCACTGAATTTACAAAGCAATTTGAATATATGAATATTGGCATTAACCTCAATTTTCTCTGCAATATTTTGACTTCCCATGTATTATATTTTATTTATAATACATACTGTATATAATCATTTATATAAAAAAGAGACTGAAATTTTGTTTAATAAAGCTCAATTCGATAAAGGCATCAGCTTAACCTACAGTACTCATTATCCTTCCTCATACAGTTGGAGATTAATAATGCCATCTTTGTATCTTGTTTACCTCTCGTGAGAATAAGTGTTCAATACATTTACAAAAGTACAACTAACCAGTAAGTATATATTCACAAAGAATATTATTCTTAATAAACTACAGATAATTTTACTTCTGACATTTCATGGCAATATGTCATCAACTGCATTTTGCTGCCCACTGCTTTCTTTCTGTAACAGATTAAAGGATCAAGTTAATTATATGAAAGCATTATGAAAATGAATAATTGCAGGTTTTCACCATCTTACTGCAAGATTAAAGAGCAATTAAGAAATTTAAGAAAAGCAGGGTAATCAAAATGACTGTTAATCTCCTAATAACAGAGCTATAGTATATAGAAATCTCTGTAGGTGGGAAAAGAGATGGAGGGTTTCTGTTATTTTAACCATCAGACATGCAGTCAGAGCTGAATCTATCAGAAGTCTGACCTCCGTGATTCTGAAGGAGATTATAGCATGAGCCTGCTATATCAAGCGTTTATGGCTCCCCTCTCCCTGCATGTGGCCAATCTCTTCTGATCTCTCCACATGACAACTTACAAAAATGGTTTATGCTGTCTACTTATTCCTTTGTGTATTTCAGCTCATGGATACCAGACAAATTATGCTTAATGACTGGCAGTTGTTGCCAGAGGAATGGCTGCTTTGCTCTTATTGCCAAGAGTGCTGAATGCAAATGTCAGAGCCCCTACAAAATGGTTAGGAGAAGTTGAGATCTAATTGAATGATTTGGCATTTACCGTTGTGAGACCTGTGATAGTGCACCTCAAAGTCTGAAGATTGTCCATGATTAATTCTCCAGCCAGCGAGGAAAAGTCTTTCAAATAACTCCACTCCACTGCAGAAAGAAAACCAACAGTTATCTTTGATTATATTAGGAAAAGAATGTAGCACACAGAAAATGGCCTTTAACTTTTCTGTGTTTATATATATTTTTTCTGTGTTAAAAAGTATTTGTTTTTGTTTAGAAACCCATTTAAGGGCAATTGCTAATCAACTTAACTGTACACAACAACACATTTCATATTTCTTGAATATAGAATATTACTGTGACAGACTGACACTGTCGATTGGACTTGTAGAAGACACCAAAACAGTCAGTGTTTTTAATGGTGACAATTTAAAGCTTTTACACAATTTAATACTGTAACAACATTTTTTAATTTAAAATTCCAGTTAAGGATTATTATGTAACTACTTAATTTGGAATCACTTATTATATCCTTGCAACTCAGCTTATAGCCATTCACCTTTTGAAAATTGACAAGCTCTTCAGTGACATACAGGAGAGTCACTGACAATTGGAAGAGATCACGGAGTCCAGACACTCCCAGGCTGACATTCACATCAACATTTTTTCATTCATCAGTATACTGACTTATCGTATCTTGTAGTTATTTTGTATAAAAGAACTGCACACTTTCTGTATAAAATTGCTTAGTTCTGTCAAACACAAATACTATTGAATGAGCTGGATATGTATTTTAATGGTAACAATGTATGAAAATTACTAATTAATGATAAAATCTCTGTGAGAAAGAGTAACTTAAGACTGAATTTACCTAGGCTTCTCGTGTGAGAAGCACTGTTGACTTTGGACATATTTTATACTTGAAAATAAATGGGGCAATTATTTCAAAAGAAAATATCTTGCACAGACACTTGTGAGCTGAGGACTGGCTCTGACATACGTGCAATTTCATTTAAAAGCTTGGCACCACAGAAGACTTCAAGATTTGTGTGGGTGGGAGTGACTTGAAGGCAAACAGCCTCTCATCATCTTCATAATATTGGTTATGTATGTTATAAGATCCCACCGCAGTCTAAGCCACAAATCCCTGATTATCTGTATTGTTTTCATACCTGTCTGCTTTAATACTTGGATCCCTCTAACTGAAGAGGTGTGTGGTAAACGTTACAAATTAAACCAAAGTAGGATTTTGGTAAATGAGTAAACATATTATACAACAGAAAGTATAGAAGGAAACCCAAATCTATCTCATCAGTTCTGGAAATACATATTTCTTTATAATGGATGATAATAACAGGACAGAAGCCTAAGGCCATAATGGTATACTAATGCTAAGAAAAAAATACACTTAGCTTTATTATTTTTTTTCTCCTGCAGAAACGGCCTCCTGTAACCATGACAGGAAGGTCATGTATTTGCAATACAGAAACGGATGGATAGATCCCACCCTCATAAAGGCAAGCTGTCCTCTTCTCAACACTCTGCTCCTTCTTCCCATTTGTTGAGCGTAACCATGGTACCAAGATTCTAAATATAGACCCTACAGTGAACTAATGCATTGACAGGCCGACCACAGGCAGGTGGAAGGACAGACAGATACCTTATTTTATACTTTTTTGATTAAATTGTTCTCTTGTGCTTTTTAATTGTCAGGGGGGTCATCTGTGTGTGTTTATGAGGCGGGCAAAATCCCACAAAAACCTTTCAAACAAAAACATAATCATCTTTTAGCTGCTCTCTAGAAAGTAGAGAATATTTTTAAAACCAAAGCAACAATCACAGAAGATGAGCCTTTGAGTCAGACTATCCACCTATCACTTTCATATCTATCTTAAGAAAGGAAGAATCAGTGCTCCACTGGGCACAATTCAAATCCCAGAAAATGTGATTATATTTGTAGCTAGATTATGCATCCTGAACTATTTACAGTGAGCTTTTTATGAATAATGTGTATGTTATATAAACAATCAGAAAGCTGTCTTCTTTAAGATAAGTCTAAGCAATCAAGTGTTTTCCAAAGGTAAAATTCTTATATAAAATCAAGATGAAAGATGGAAGAACTGAACTCGATATTTATTTTGATATATACTGTATAAATTATACCTTCTTACCTTTGCATTTAAAAAATCTGGTTAAACAGCCATTTCCAGAAGGGAAGTGTGCCTTGTGCTTGTGATTAATCTCATTATGCAGAAAGCTGAGCTAAGCCCTAATGAAAATTTCTGTGTGTGACTGATTGATGTTGTATTATTTTTCCTTCATGCAAATTTATAGCACAGTGTCAATAACACAGAGAGTAATAGGTCATTCTTTTGCACTGACAAGATCATTTTTAGAAAGAAATGTAAATTTAATTTACAATATGACGTATGAGTGCCACTAGCTTTCATGTACTCACTGTTCTGTTTTTATGGTATCCAATATTTTTAATTGTGTAAGGAGACTGGTTTTGTTGGCATAAATTACAACAGCTCATGGCTCAAAGCAGCTTCATTTCTTACTTGCACAAATATGCTCAGCAGGAAGACATGGGAAATGCCTGGGGTGCTTTTTAAATACAGTTTATTAGTCCTTTATGTCTTTTCACAAACTTGAACAGGTTTAAAATTGTCAGTGAACATCAAGAACTTCGCACACTGATTTGCACACTGAAAAGGGTTTCTTAAACAGACGAAGGGCAGGTGATTCACAGAAAGTACTGTATGGTATATCTCCATATCAAAACAAACTGTAACGTTGATAATAGGCAATATCCTCAGTCCATACTGTATGTGTAAGAAGCTTACATTTTCATTATTTGATTAAAAAAAATGAAATTGGTAGAGGAATTAGAATCTTTCTATTTTTATTTTAGTTTCCTTATTAGCTCCAATTTTTACAATGGGTATTGAAGCAGGTTTTTGAGAATACTGCACGGGGAAATATTAGGAATCAAAAAACAGTGGATGTATTTGACATGTACTGTTGCTACTGTATGACCCACAGCTTGTGATGTTCCTGGACAATGTTTAATTTTTGTTCTCTTCTTTTTGTATTAGCATAGAAAACAGAGAATGGAATGTTTCCAGTTAAAATCCATGGTGCTTCTTAGGTTTGGTTCTTTTGTACCATATATTTCTTGTTGCAATTCTTTGTTTCTCTCATGTCACAATTTGGAGACAGATCTGTAACAAGCAAACTGGATTCATATCATCATGGGCCATCATACAAAAACCAACCAAGCTACGCCAAGACAGATTAAAATGAACAATATTCTAATCATAAAGGAGAAAAAAATGTAAAACAGTACTCTTAAAGGTACTGGATGATTGAGGAAACAATTATGGCCAAATTAACATACATAACACTTAACCTTATGCGTTTCCTAAGCAGGTTTATTTCACCTCTAAAAATGTCAGTACCTTTGTAGCCAGTAATTAGTATCTTAAATGGAAAAGGAAAATGGAATACTGTCAAAGCTAAGCATTTTCAAATTAACTTTTAGCATTGCTGAACTGCTGGAAGCTAAACACTTTTCAGGCACAGCTTAATGTTCTCTCTATTTTAAATTGCTGCAGATATCTGTTCAGCAAAGTGCACAATTTATCCAGAACTAGAGTTTTCAGCTTTTTCTACTTTGTCTACTCTGTTATTACTAAAATAATATTATTTTGAAAAATAAATGTTCAATATATAAATGCAAAGTCATCATATGATGCTGTTTATCATGTCACAAATGAACATGTACAGTGTGCTACAAACAACAGCTTTCTACCTCAATAAAAAGCCACACCAAAATTGAGATAGCTTATTCTTGTGTTATGCCCAATGCTTTTAAATGAGATAAAAAGAGAAAGGACATCTTAAATATAATGCGACTGTTGCACTCAGCAAGCCTTTTATAGTTAAGGTGGAGAAAAAAACATCATCCACTAATTGTACCCACTGAAAACGTAGCAAGGATAATTCAAAAGTTTAATTTAGTCATTTAATTTAGCAATATTTATTCACTGTTCTCTAGATTGATACTTTTTTTGTAATGTGGTGACTGAAGTTTATATATTCTAAATGATGTCCTTAGTGAATTGAGTAGTGAATTGTATTATTTTAATATAACATTCCTTAATTTCAGTTCTATGCCTTTAACTATACAGCTCATCACTCATTTTGCCATTTTAATTGCTTCCATAGTGTCTGAAAGATGAAAATAGTGTCTACGTAGACACTGTCAGTCTTGTTTATAAGTAGATTTTTCCAACTTAGCCTTTTCTGTCTTTTATTGATGGTTTATGTTTTTCAACCTTAAGAACATCTCAAAGAACAGCTTACCTACCACAATTAAGCTACAGCCCACTGTACACTATCTGTAGGTGGAATGCATGAATAATAGAAGGACCTCCCTGAAACTTATAATTTCAAAACTACAGAACAATTGAACAAACTGTGGTCCATTTTGTTGCTTGATGTGGTATTATTGCCTGTTTCTTTGTAAAATAAAATGATCAAAGTAAATCTAATCATGTTAATAAATATCAAATAAAAACAGAATAATACAAAAGACCATCAAATCAAAAATTACATTTTAGTCAACAGCCCATCAATTATGAAGATTAGCCAATAACACAAACATGAAAACAAATGGGCAATTCAATGCTAAGATTCTAAAAACATAAAACCTGACTGAACAAAAATTACTTAATCAATTAAGGGCATAGAACCCTGCAATAAAGTAAGACCACATACTAACATTATTAACATTTCTCTTTATTAATCTAAATAATGAGGACCAATTCTTTGTCTGTGGTGTTTTACTAATTCTTTACCTTTCAAAAAAAGTCTTAATATGCTGTTGCAATATGTTTTGGGAGACAAACTCTGAAAATAAGGTAAGTGCTCTGTATTTTAAATTGGATTGGCAATTTAGATCATGAGAGGCACACATGCTTACACCTACAGTATACAACTATGGCATTTTGTGTTTTTTCTTAATGTATTGGGTAAAAACATACTCCAAAAACATAAAGCCTTTAGCTTACTTTGAGCATTTGTTTAGCAATAGGACACAGGTAGAAACTAAATAAATAGCAATGATGGTAATGTTCCTGTAGTCATTTTGTTACATCACAACTCATTCATAAGAACCGTTGCATTTTTAATCAACTGAGGAAAGAGAAATATAGAATTTCCAGCCACTTATTAGTACAATGGTATTTTCTTCTGTGGGCCTCTTGAGGCAGAATTCAGTCCAGAACACTTGGTTTGGCTCAAGTGACACACAGGATGACTGAATAGAGACATCAGGTTTCCCAGCTTCCCTGCAAATTGCCTGCTGCTATTTACCGGTACTGTATTTGGGAATTTTTTTCAGTTTATGCTACACTTGTAAGTCAAAATGTTTGACTTTCAATGTTGTACCTAGTACCTTTATGCTGTGACTGACCATTTATAATACATTTTGGCCTAAGTATTTGAAAATGTGTTTGTGTCAGGCAAAGACTGGTGAACTTGTAAAGTAAAATGAAAGGCTGACATTTTATTTCACTTCTTTTGTTTGTGGAGTGGTTACAAATTAATGAGACATCTATCACAAAGGACTATTTAAAACGAACATGAGCATCTTCAGATAGCTTAATTCCACCAGCCTTTCTTCTTAATTCCTATTATATAAGGTTTTTAAACCTCTGATGTCTATTATCAAGACTCATTCTTTTCCAGATCTGCAATCAACCTCAGATAAATCAACCAATGACCTTATGCCTCACAAATTCAAGATGAAAAGAATAAAATCTTTATTCACCACAGCTGTATATTCATTCACATTCATTTTTTTCTAAATGGCATCTGATTGTTAACTTCTCCTTGGACAATGGCACAAATGATAACTTTCTTGTGTCCCTATTTCTTATCATACTCCGTTCATTGTTCAGTCTAAATCCATCCATCCAAGTGAAAAAAAAGTCACCAAGCCACACTCAGTAATGTCCCTGATGGCTTCAAACAAGAGTTTCTTTTACAAGTTATACTGAATAATAATGGAGTTTAAAATATAACATTCTTTATTATTAGAAACCTATTAAATGTGCTATTTGTTTTTTCTAACTTACTGGTCACAATTGAAATTAAGTGAGGGATGTGATCCAAAAAAATAATCAGATTGATTTTGAAAGCTGTCCTGAACCAGAACCAAAAAAATGTCATTTCTGTATTGTAACTATGGAAAGACTTGAACTGCAGTATTTAACAAAATAGTTCTCACAGAGAAGCTCGTAAGTTAAAAGAAGTATTCAGTTTTTAGAGGACAAGAATCCAGACAACCAAATAAATGTAAATTACCAGAAAAGCATGTCACACACTGCAAGAAATAAATTTACTGTCTAATTGCTATGTTTTGGATTATTAATACTATAAGTAGGTCTGTACTGTTTTCTTTCTTCTGTGGCTCGTACTACAAGGCCAACATTTTTATTACAGAAATTGGAGCCATTTCTGAATGTAGAAAAAAATGAAATTCTATGCCCGTCTGTCCATTGTTGGCTACTAACAGAAATTATAATGAAAAAAACTAAACTACTGCTTTTGAAATTAAAAACGTTGCCCCCATTCTGTTACAAGTATACTAAAATATTCAGCATATACACATTTTTACTGATAATTTACATAAAAAAGAACAAAATAGTAGGATTTTAACTAATGAGCAGCAACCATATTAATTAAGAGATATTGTTTTACCACAGAAATTAACATCACATTCACATCATCACACTCTACATTTCTTTAAATAAATCCATGTACCAAACATCTGGAACAACCATTGAATGATTGTTTAATCTTGTATTTTTTTTAAGTTAAAAGTATAAGTAAGACACTTTTTGCAGAGACTTCATCAGAAAATCAATTTAGGTGCCGTTTTGCAATACAAATACAAATTGAATTTTTTTTTTTCAATATACAATCAACATATATTAACCATGTAAAAAACAACGTCATTCTAATTGAAATACTCCAAAATATAAAGGCATAAAAAATACTTTTCTGGTTTCAATGAGTTATTGTGGTAGAATGAAAAATAAGCTTCAGGCAGAGTTTAAGCAAAAGCTTTTAATTGAATTGCTATTAAAACAACCAAAAGTACCTTGCAATTATCTATCATATTTACTTTATAAAGCAAACAGGAGACATTATATCTGTATCTTCAAAACCACCAATAGCAACTGACTTAGAAAAGCCAAACATTTTTTCAGACCTCTTCCTCTTTCCCACTGAAAAGGTAAATACAGAATTGTGGAGACAATAGCATGAGAATGCCAACTCTTTAAGCAGAAACATTTTAGATTGTGTTAATGGAAAACAGCATTGAAATGATCTTTCTTTTTTTTCCAACATTATTGAGAGTTTAATTGGGTGTAAGATGAGCAATGCCCAACCAAAAGGTTAAAAACAAAGCAAACAAACGAACACAAAAAACACCCCTGAAAGCAAACATGCTCTTGTGACTTTGAAGTGTCTCCACAACAGAGGGAAGGGTGAGTCCCTAGGCACAGAGACCCTTCACTCACATTCCAGGGCTGCCAAATGGGCTGAGATCCAAGGGATGGTGCCGATTTTCAACTCTGATTCATGCCAGACAAGGACATCTATCTTGACATGATGAAGTGGACAAAAGGATGCATGAAATCTATGGCATGATTCTGCAGGAAAAGGCCACAAGGACGATACCCAGAGTTTGCAAAAGAATGAAGCCTTCTTTTTCAGGTTTTTTAAGGCTGCTCCTTCCAAATTTGTTTGAATATGTATGATCAGGATACTATTTTTTTACTTTAGACTTTGATTTAGTGGATGTAGGAACAAGGTTAAAAGAGTTTGCAACCACCCCACTGTAAAACCTCTCCAATGATCACTGGACCATCATACCATTTAGAAAAATAAAGGAGCCAGCCTTGGTTTGTGAATTTAATCAGAGCTGTTGTTGTACTTAACCATGGAATCAAATATCATGAAAACGTATATGCTTTAAGTAGCTGTAATTCTTGAATGGAATATCATAAAAAGCAGAATTGTGAACAAACTTTTAAAAATTAAGCAATAAACATTTAGTTAATTTGTGTCTATGGTTCTATGAAACAGAACTTTAGTTACCTTAATTAGTTAAGGTTAACTTAGTTAACTTTAGTTACTTTTTCCTCAGTATTGCACTTATTTATTTGCACCTCCTAGGCCTTTGATAAACACAGGCCGACAGACTTTAAAAGGATTTCTTTGTATGTATGCAAAGAGTTCAGTTTAATGACCTGTGGAATGGACCTGGTTGACTTTTAAATTCCTATAAATAAATGGAATTCTGGAAGGCTAAGCCACACAAACTGAGTTGGAGTAAGTGGTCATCATGCATACAAAAGCAAACAAAATTCTTACCATTTCAGACAAAGAGAATTCAAGGTTTGAATTATGAAATATTGTACCCATTGAGTAGATAAAACATTTTCTCAGGCACTGTCTTCATTGCTGCCTTAGGGGCTTATGGCAAAAACATAATTTCTTTCAAATAAAAGAGAGAACCACATAGAAGTAAGAACCAATGCAGCTGAGAGCATGAGATCATGTTTTTTAATCCACCATTGAACTGTTGTAAATATTATGAAGGCTTTCTTCTGGGGGTACCTAAAGAGATTGTCCTGAGGTATCACATGCTCAGGAAGCATGCATTTGGGGCACAATAAAGAGAAACTGAGAAACTGAAATGCCTTCTCAAAAGCTCAAGCACAACTGCTGCTACTGAACTGTCCAGGTCTTTGGAAACACTATGTTTCACAGAGATTCCATACCAAAAGGTTAAATAAGTTTACTTACTTGTACAGTATTTGTGGCTGTATATGAGAAACATGGCATCATATTCTAACTACAGCTATTATTCATGAATGATAACTAACATTACCCTGTACTGTTATCTTACCATTACTCTTCATCTAATGGAATCATATTTTCTTCAGAAAACTTGCCAGTGTTAGGCTTGACAAGAAATGTTTTGAGCCCTTGCACAGAAAAATGTGTTTATGTTGGGAATACATTATTTTTTCATACTGAAGGCCAGTTAATGCTATGCATAATTATTAGGAATATTGTATCTATAAAAAAACTGCTACTCCTTAATTTTTCCCTTGGAAAAGAAAATATTTTCAAACTTTAAAGGGTGTAGATTTTATTGCTTAAAATACCATAATAAATCTACATCTGAAAATATGAGTGCCCTTACAAAAATGACTCCTACTAACCATGTTGTAACAATTAATTAGGAGTCACTCAAATTACCTGTAACTGTTCCAAAGATTCAGCTAGAAGTCTACACACCAGGAGGAGACTGGAGCAGACCACCCAAACCCTCAAAGACTACTCTCTTGTTGTTTCTGTTAATGACTTAAATAGCAGTGGCAGGCAAGCACTATCAGCACGCCGAGAGCATTGGGTTTTGTAAAGAAAGTACTGAACATTCATTTTGCCAGATGTTGTCTTGAGTGACTGATGGTGGGTGGGTACACTACATAAAAAATATGACTTTTACTATTTCTAAAATAAATACCACACTGAAAACTATACTAACTCACGTCACTGTATTGCATTTTAATGTGTATTTAACATAAAGAATATTTTTTTTATAGGTAAGATATCTGTTACCATTCCAGCATGAAATAAATAGCTGGGAAAGTACTCCAGTCCAGTTTTTAGTGTTCAGTATATCAGGAATATACTAAAACTTAAAAGTGGTGAAAGGCTATTTATAGCAATGTTTTAATTTGCGTATAGCAAATTGTTGTCATCTTATTTTTAATCATTTAAACAGATTAAAACATTCTAACATGGTTTCAGAAATGTCTAGCTTTGAATGACAAAACAGATTCAATCAAATAACATGAAATGTAGATCATGAAAGTTTTTTCCACTTCTTCACCCTGAATAGTGTTAATAACCGAATCATCTTTTCGGATGACAGAAGTCATAAATACATGAACAAAAGAGCCAACGTACAACAGCTGACAGTAGAAGCCTTGAATCTAATGCCTCAAATACCTTTGTATTTGGTGACTACTGCTGAGTTGATGCTCAGAGGCTCCTGGAAGGTGACAGTGAGTGATGTGCTACTCGTTACACTCAGACGGACACTGGACGGCGTCTCTGGGGCCCCTGGGACAGAAGCAAACGCCAAGAGGTCAGCAAAAACAAAGCATTTTCTAACCCCTGTTTTTCAAACAACACCAAAATAAATAAGACCACCTAAAACAACAGAGGGCAAACACCTTCTCTGGCCACCCTAAAACACAGTGCCGAGGAGACAAATGTATAAACAAGCAAAGTTTTTAGAGTTCAATTATATATTTTTGCTTGATTATTTTATTTTTTGTTCAAATATGGTTTCACTTGTACATACTTCTACGATCAGAATGTACAGCCAGACCGAGTTTCTACTTTTTAAAAATGATGACTAATGATCATTAATGATGATTGTGTTCATTTTACTCCTTAACGTAAATAGTTGCTAAGGATGGCCAAATTGTTATCTGTCATTATTAGACTTTGATCAAATTTTGATAGATAAAGAACAGAAAATACATTCTTTCTACTTTAAAGCTCGTTTTGGGTGCTTTGAGTTGCATTTTTCATTTATAACTCAAGCCAATATGCCGAAACTAATCACATCATCCAACTTCATTTCAATACCACTGGTGTCTGAGCTACAAATGGCAAATCCTAAACACAATTGTTTTAAAAAATACTCATGGCAGTTCACTGTATCTTTTAAAAGCCATCTTGTTTAGGCAGAAAAGGATTTGATAGCTTAATGAACAATGCAAAAGTACTCAAAATCACAACCTTCAATTCATACTTGGGCAGGTCATGTCCCTCATTTGGAAACTTGTTTAATCAAAACCTTTAAAACCAACAGTCAGAAGTGCCAAGATACTGTAATTCCAATTGACTGGAAGATCTGGTATTGGACTATTCCTGATAGTCACTGGCTTATAATATACATTATTTCTCCAGTGTGTGGTCTTCTGCCTTGTGTTGTTATATAGTCTTGTCTGTGTCTCTTTTTAAGAAATTTTAGACTAATGAAAAAACTGCCTCAAAAAATAACTGCATGTTAGGCATCGGCAAGCATAATTCAAAGACTTTGTGAAGGTGAGGTTGTCAATGTGGTAAACATCTTTTTGAACGCAGTGTCTTTTTCATCTGGTCAGCTGTGCCTTTTTAAACCCGGGGCAACAGAGTAGACATTGAGAGTGGCATGTTGTTTGTAGAATTGCATAGTGCAATTTGCAAACTGATTTGTGAAACAGACATGTTTGAAGAGCATCTGGTCATTACATTTTTTTTAGCTCTGAGATGTGGTCTTTGAAACTGGCGGGGATGTCTGACGGCTTAATTGCATGGAGGAGAATCATTATGAATGGTTGAACTGATTTACATTTTTCTCATGATGACAGTGTAGGTTGTCTGACATAAAGTTACATTTTCCACAGATTGCTTTTTAATTTGCCACCACTGCAGATTTTTCTGTAAACTTCACAGATGTGCTCAAATGAATCCACAGGGATCATAAGCTGTTTACATAATGCATTCAGGTATACACAGTGTACAACAAAAATTGCTAAAAAAAACTAAAGAGAGCTAGGTAAACATTCCATTCTGATACACAACTCTGTACAGTAATTGTTTTTTTTTAATTCAGCCATATTTTATTTTTCACGAAATAATAAATTAATTGAAGTATGTAGAAATAAATTAATTCTACTATAATTACAAAAATGTGTTGTGCAGACACGTTGGAATACCTTCAGATACTGTTTGGTTATATTGGAAGTTTCACAAATTTGCTTCCCATATTCTTTTATACTGTTTCTGCCATAGCTGGTTTATGGATTTCCTAACACTGGTAGCAACATTTTCCACCTCTGGAGGAAGGATTAAAAAGGGCCATAGAGGGAAATATTAATTACTATATATTTAATGTTTTAACATGATAAGATGAAAGGGTTCACATTGATCAATAATACATTTTCTTTTGCCAAATTGAAAGTTTAACAATATCCATTAGACTTACAGAGAAGACTTGTTTCAGACACAGGGGACCAGTGTTTATGTACAGTTTCTGTAGTACCAAAGTAATTAATACAGTACCATTCTATATATATACAAAAAAGACCAATTAAAACATAACAATAATAATTAAGCAAACACTAACTTGCATGTTCAAACCCCGTCTTGATGCGCTTGTAGAGTTTGTATCGCCATTCCCAGGCCTTCAGTTGTTTTTCCTTTTCAGAGCTGTCCAGATTCAGTCCTTCACTCAGCACCTGAGCTGACAGTTCACTCACCCTCTGTTGGGCTTCCTGAACCACAGTGGTGAGGTGCAGGGCTCTGCTCTCCAGGCTAACAACTGTAAGACATTACATGATCAATACGAAATGTGCTTCCACTCTGGAGTCTGGCTTTTCCTTTCTAGTGTGATAAGTCAATTTTATTACAGAACACCCATTAGTCACACTACATTTTTCTTCCTTTAGTTGTTCATCAGAGATGAATGTTTTAAATTTCAATGGCCCCAGAAGCTGAAACATCAGAGAACAGAATTAAAAAAGTATAATTCTGGGATCTGCATTCAACTTGTTGACAACTTGTAGGTAGGAATCTTTTGCAAGAGTCTCAGAAAGAAAACATGTTTCTATATGTCATAAAAAAGCACAGTATACAACTTTAAGGTTTTCCTTTCTTGGCACTACAGAAATATTACAAGTGATGCCAAGAATCAGGTATTCACTCAAAGAACTTCATGCCTGGCTGTTGCATTTATTCTGGTTCTCTCCTGATGTGCAAATAGGGTGTTTTGTGGAAACACAAAGCAAAGTCCCTTTTGAGCAGAATTATTTAAATTTTATGCCCTTAAATTCCACTGTCATACAGCTATAAAGCAAGCATTTGACTGATTTGATAAGTACAGTATTCAATGCTACATAGGACACCATACCTTTAAACACTGTAACAATTACCCTCCCTGGGTAATTTAACTTGTGTGGCAGGGAAATATACACAGCCCTATGTGAATCTGACCTGGTCTGTCTTAAATTAGCTATGTGTATTAGCTGTCTGTGCCTAAAGTATGCAATGTATCAGAAGATTGAATCATTGGCTAGTAACAGTAGTGATTCATAAATCATTTACTTATAATCTTTGCCTACAACTCAAATAAAGGTTATTTAAAGTTTTCTAAAATTAGAAACATAGGCCAATAATAAACCAAAGAGCTTTGTGTTTCCAGTTCCCATTTTCAAAGAATTACTGGAATAGCTGACAATGTTTATATTCAACAATTGATTACTAATAATTAGTTTTAAAGTCATGGATGGTGGATTTGTGAGATTTACTGTAACGTTTTGCATTTATTTGATTAACCCTATCACTCCTTCCTACCGCATTTGCCCTTTCATCGTCTATTTCTTGTAACATGTTTCTAACAACCTGTTTTCCGATTCTTAGAAAAACCTCAAAGGCGAGAACTGATTCATAGAAAATGGGATCAAAGAGCAGGTCATCTCAAGCAAGTTCCTACTCCACTCAGCATTGTTACAGTAAGTAAAAAAGTAAAAAGCTATGGGTATAATAAAAATATTATAAAAATACATTACTTTTCATTTTGATTAGGGTTTATTTATTTTTAAATTGCATTGAAAAGATTGACTCATTTTCTGTTAATCTAATATACAGTACTTACCATCCATCCATTCCTGTCTGACATTTGATATGTGATATTTTTACCGATTTTTTTTATTATACCCACCCAATTCTTGGAATCTCTAATTGTGTGTTTTTTTACATCTCAGCTCATGGTTTACAGACCCTGCAACCTCACACAGGAAAGAATGAGGAAATGTAGGCAGAGTTTTCTGACCTACCAATCTTCAAGCCACTCAACATTTAACATGGCACAGGCAACACAGCCCCATACTGGAGCTTCAGTGCCAATTGGATGAGTTGTACATCTATGACCAACAGCACCACAAACCTGCAAGCACCCAATTGGCCACAGGGGTCACTGTGTTTCCACACTACTCTCCACAGCACTCAGTGAATTGTGTACAACTTCTTGGTAAATACTGTACGACCCACAGTTGGCTAGTGACATTATCCAGGCTCGAACCCAAACTACTAGAGTTCACACTACACTCAGGTGAGGGCCTTTACCATCTGCGACACCAAGGAAATCTGTGTAATATTTTCAATACTCACAGCTCTTCAAAAAAAAGCTACAGCTTCTTTGATTTAGTGCACTTTACACTGACATTGTTCTGTTGTCTTCATGTACAGCAAGTGGCATTCATATTATTATGAGAACTGTTCCATTTACCCACCTGGAGCCATTATATATTCAGTGTTTAACTTTATCAATACTCATTTCTTATTAGTTAAGCCTCCTTATACAGGGTTGAAATCAGGACTGTATTACTTGGCTGTTGGTATCATTATTTTTATCGAGAAACCTCTGGAGGCTGGCACTGACTTTAAAAGAACTGCTCTATAAAGCCTTACTTCTTGAACTCAGATTATACTTCTTGTGAAAGGAGAATTTCTGGAGGTTATTTATTCAAATTAACTCATACTATCGAGTTGTAAGTTGTAAAAATCGAACATACTGTATCAATAGCAATGCTTAGTAAGAATTGTAAATGGATGATTCAATACATATGTTTGATAACCTCCAGATTTCATGAAGCCTATTCACCAATTAAGAGATGCTAAAAATTAGCTACATAATAAGACAAAGAAAATAACTGCTACTGTAAGTCTCTGAAATGGAATAGTTTGTAATCAGCCTGAAGTTCATTAAAAATAAAATAGCATTTTTAATTTCTTAAATGGTTTAAATGGTATCTCAAATATGTTGATACAGAAATTCTTAAGCACACAACCTAGCAGTATACAAATGGCAACAGGAGCTAACAAAGGTGAAAAAATAATCAGATTTGTTTTTGGAATGAATTCAGTAGGAAAACCAAGAAAGAGAGAAGAGAGACAATCACGGGTGAAAATGCTTAACAATAAGAGGAATATGATCTGTTAAATCTTCACAGCCAGTTGCAAATAAAGGATTGGTTGCATTAGACCATTAGAAAGTCTATGGTAAAATACACACTTCTATTTTTAAATTGATTGCCGTTTCTTTCACTGTTCCTACAGGAGGATGACTGATGGACATGGGTCATTGGAAAGTCATTGAGCCAGCAGGCAAAGTTTACAATAGCACCTGGCTACCACTCTATAATTTGGTATCATGGGACTAATTGGAATGCAGAAAGACTGAAAATCATTGGAGAAATGAAAAATTGGAAGGCAGTTGGCTCCAGATTACATGTTTGGGTCTTGGCTGGCACTTGTGGCTTAAGGATAACTGAAGGGCTACTGTCTCCAGCAGCTTTAAATCCTAGAAGTTTACGAGCACAAGGTGGGTCTGTGGCTTCTCCGCCATAATTATTTACATCCTTTATTGAAAGCTGTAAATCCTGTTCATTGTTTTTTTTTTCTACATGAGGAGTGAGGTTGATCACTGCTAACAAGCCACGAGAAAAAGAAAGTTGTTTCTGTTCTCTTTATCACCGACTTTAGCAACGACTTTAGGCTTAGAATTAAACTAATGAGGCCTTACACTGTTGAATTAGATATGGTAAAAATCTAAAACCATGAAAAGATTTATATTTTTCTACTGCCAGCACACATTCCAGTTATGTCAAAACAGTTCTGTTTTCTTGTTATTGGAGTTGAATTCAATAATTATACAAATGTATACCTCATTGAACTGAACAAATTGTTTATTATTATTAGCAATTAATGGGAGGTTAATTTTTATAAGGGAGAATTCAAAAATCGTACTAGGAAAATAATTATAAATGTTTATCATCCTTTCTGAAAGTCATTTTAAATAATTTTCTTTTAGCAGCACAAAAAGACACTTCTACCTTTTTACAACTGTTTTTAGTTTTGTAAATTTGTAAATAAATACCTGTACATTTTTCTTTTACAAAAAAATACAGTATTTTTAGATAAACCACTTGTTGATGTTAGAATAATAAGCTATTTTTTGCTGAAAAAACCTTTATTTCTGGATACATTCAAAAAGGTAGATGAGCTATTTCATTTTATAGGCATTCTCACTATTAAACTGGTATACAAAACACAGTAGGTACAGAAGCTACACTCAGACTAAGATACAACAGACCAAGAAATATATATTTTTCTTGATTTTTGTCAAGAACCTTAATTCGGACCTTTTAAATTAAAGATATTAAAATAAAGTGAAAATTTCTCATATAATATTTTACCCACAACTTAGTGTTTAGCTGTCTTGACTATAGAATAATTATATTCTACTCTTGAGAATGAATTCAGTGAGATGAATGACCAAAAATAGAACATAAATCCATATTAAAACAATTGAGCAAATGTATGGGAATTGAATAGGTCAGGAGTTCATCATACACAGGTACAGGAAAGAAGTGATCTCATTAAAGACCAATCAGTGAGAAATTAAGTACACATACTGTCCATTCCCTCTTTGAAAAAATAAATTAAAAATTATAACTGCCCATGCTTTTCATCTGTCTTAATCTGTTTAAAGACAAGATCAATGAAAGAAATAAAAAAAACAAGAATACGAAAAAGAGAAAGTCTCTTTTGGCTACTGTTGAGAACACAATACTTTTTTGTGAACATACAAAAACCTTTCAGGTTTTCATACTAAAATGGATGCTACCTTCAAAGTCACTTCAATAACCTAAATGCTACTGCATATTCTTACGAAGCCTTAGTAATGAACCATGGCAATAAAATAAACAAATTAATACGTTGCTAAGAAAACATCTTTCACTGGGTCTTCTCAGTGTATGATAAAGTAAGTGTTGTAGACATAGAAAAAGTAATAAAGGTTCCCCCTTACTTGGAAGTCTGAGCTGCAGTGGAAAAGCTGGCAATATTAGAAGCCTTGAGGTGCAATTTCCTGTCCTCTGAAGATTGACATCTCGGTTCTAAATGTGGTTAATTGAACTAACTATAAATTAATGGTCGGGTCTGTCAATAGTGACCTGAGAGACACAGTTCTCATTGTTGACTGACTGGGAATGCCCTAAATATAAGCATTGAAAGGCCTAGGCAATCCTCATAAATTTTGTGTATGTTTTAACCCCCAGGTAAGGCGTCTGAATTGTCAAGACTGAGGCTGATTGATTTACTTGGTACTTATGGAATTATATAAATTAATACATAATACCTTGTGGGAGAAATATGGTCATGTTTATTTTCTGTTTATTTACAAGGATCGGATTGTACTGTGGTAAGAGCTTGTTTAAAGAGTTACTGCAACCCAGGTACAATAAATCACTTAATATAATTGCTGTGTGTTACATGTTACATTGGAAAACCGAAACCATCTTGTGACGAACTGTGTTACGTTTTCATAAGGTTCATCTCTCTTTGCTTTACCACATAAAATTCTGAGCCACAGTCCTTCATGTTTTATTTTAAACGGCCTTCGCCAATATACAAAAACACTGAAAAATTTGAACACTAAGGTCTTGTAACTTTTACTGTGCTGGTGAAGGGAAAGGACACCTGCTAAGGCTCTGTCACTGGAGCCGGTGGTTTAATATGCCAGCCAGACTACAAGTTATTTAAACTCCTTTGGAGGGAAACCTGTCCTGAAATGTATGAACCCTTTCTGCTGAAGTGCAAAGATCATCCATGCACAGCACACATGGATTAAAAAAATAAAAAACTGCCAGCATTATAGTTCTAATAAATTCAGTATCTTGTACAAACTGACATTTATTTAAGATTTCAAACAATACAAGTGAAGGCTGTTACCTTTATTAAAGCCTCCATGCAAGTATATCTGCTTTGATTTTTTAATATACAATTTTCAATCTTGCTGTTTTCCCATGAGAATGCAGTGCAGCAAAGCATGTAAAATTATATCTGTACAGTATATCTTTATTTTTTTCTTTTAATTTATACTTCAAGCTTCAACTATAGTTCATGAAATTCACAGCTGTTGTAAAACTGCTACTTAAAAAACTTAAAGAAATTGTCAGTTTTGAGAGACCACCACTGTCTACTCCATCTCAGCTGCTGTAAAATTTAAATAAGCTTTTTAAAGTCTGACTGAAAAAGAAGAGAAAAGATCATAATTGTGAAAGATATACTTAGAATTGGCATTTGTTTTACTGTGAAGTGAAAAAGAAAAAACAGGTGAAACACACTTGTCATAGATCAGTGTTCCATACTCACAATGCGGGCTCTCTTTGGCTCCAGCCTTCAGAAGGAGCTTGGCCATGGGAACGTTGTTGGTCATGATGGCGATGTCCAAGGGCGTCAGGCCCTCACTGTTGGGGGTGTTGAGGTCCAGCTCATCGGCCGTGTACTGATAGAGCAGGATCTGAACTGCATCCAGGTCCTGCTGCTCCACTGCCTCAAACAGGGCCTCACTGCACTGTACATTCTATCATTCAAAACAGGGAGAGAATGACACACAGTCACTGCAGAAGACCTACCACGAAACCTAAATTCACCTTCCAGGATGAAACAGTGTTATTACCTAGTCCTGAGCCTGCATACACATACTGTACTACAATCCCTTTCAACTTAAATCAGTGATAATCTTCACATTTCCTTTTGTTTTTATCAATTTTATCCATTTGTCAAAGCCATCAAGATGAGTTATGACCTATTGTAATAAGTAGCATCCTGGCAAGGAAAAAAAAATAGGTACTTGTCCTATTTCATTATGGTTAGCGATTCTGACTGAAGTGGAGGACTTGTCATTGTGGTTAACAGTAATGACAATTGACCTCAACCATAGAGTTCATTACAGATATATGAGGCAAAAAGATCCCCATTCATTTTAGACAGATGACATTAGAATTTTTCTTTCTAAAATGACCATGTCCAGCAGTTCATTATAAAGTGGTCGATATTTCTGATCTGTCAACACAGATTAGATTAAATTTAATTGACATTATGCTTCACTGTACCAGACCTTTCTTAAAACAGGCAACGCACTGACATTTTATGTTTCATAAAGATAAACGCATTTAAATAATGTTTATAAAACAGTAATAATAAAGAAAAAATAATTTAACAAAAAAACGAAATATAGAGAGTTTTCTGTAAAAGCTTGTTGTCATATTTTGGTTAAACGCTCAAAAATACATTCCAAAAACTAAGTAGTAAAGGAATCAGCTTCATTTTTGCGATAAAAATGTGATAAACTGACTTTAAATTTAAAATTTAATTGCAAAGACAGTTGTGAAATGTGCTATAGTTGTCCCCTGCAATTAACACTTATTTTCATACAAAATGAATAAAATTACATTTAATGTATGCCCATGACAAGACAACAAACACAAATCACTGACAGACTGAACAGCTGTGCTCTCCACTATGTTCTACAAAAAAGACACTAAAGCCTGGTCACAGAACATTATGCAATATTTGTTAAAAAGACACCTTGACATAACACCATATAATTCTACTGTAAATCATAGCAGGACACAAAACAGTAAGATTTCCAGAACCGCAGGGATGTCTTCCCTTTTCAACCCATTCCTTTCTCAACTATTCATTCCACTGTGTGTAATTGTGTAACCCCAATATACATGTACATGTACATATACAATATACTGTACACGTCCAGTACTATATGTCTATTTGACTGTGGGTACTGTGAAGAAAATGTAATGAACAGATTTCCATTCAAAGAAAATCACTTATGTCTGCAAAGAGTTGTGGCACGTAGGACACTATCCCAGAAGCACAGGGCGCAGTGAGAGATTACCCACATAGATGGGACGACACTAATCAGTCACTCACAAATACAATGTAAATTCAGAGGCAGCAGTTAAACTGGCCAACATGTCCTTGGAAGTTGAGGACACCAAAGTAATCAGAAAATAGCCACACAGATATACGTGGAGAGCATGCAAACTGTACTGGGCAGTCTGGAATGAACTCCAGGACCCAAGAGTTATGAGGAAGTATCACTAATAGCCATGCCATTGTGATGCTTCTCCCACTCCAACAAATTTCCCCAGGCAGAAAAGCCTAATTTTCAGTACAAGGCAGAAATAAAAGGGCTAATGCCTAGTACTTTATAAGACACCTGGAAAACAGGAAAAGGAAAAGACAACAGGAAAAGACGTGAAAAAGAAAAAGTTATCTGTCTTTAACTATCTGTCTATAGTGATATACTGTATGGTCTTTATGCCATATATGTTATCAAAGGGTTCCTTAATAACATTTTTGTTTTTGTTTTTGCATATGCATAAATTAAATTTAACTTTAAAATGCCTGTTGTTTTTGAAGAACTAAATACATAATATATATAGAAATAAAAAATAGTTTTAAAGACATAGTTTATAGAGTCCTACACATTACACGTCTAAAACCACTTTTGGAAAAATTCAGATATTCTACATTTAGTATGTATTTACATGTCTCTAATATAGTCGGTATAGCATATACGTAGTGATAATGTAACACAGGAAAACACATTAGAAAAGCATAAAAAGACATTGTCATTCTGCTAAACACATAAAAGGTACTACAACGGGGAAGAATGAAGAAGGATGCATACCCCAATTGCAAAAATCATGTAATTTAAGGAGCAGAAATCAACAAAGCAGTACAAAAACATTTGCCTGAAACAGGAAAAAATAACACATTTTATGAGTATCAGGACTTCAAAGCAAAAGTTATTACAAAATTAATTTTGTTTCTATAGCACCAGTAATGAAAAATTTCCGAACACTGTAATTAAGAAAACCCAAAAGGAAATGCTCTCATAGCCCCGATAGACAGTTTAATTTTACACAAGACACTGTAATAAAGTAGCAGGGCTCAGGAAGCTGATGCAGACACTAACGAGCGTGGGAAGCAAAAATTATGCAAAGGAGTATAAATCCATGAAAATACTTTCTTGTTTTCCATTTCTAAATATTTATATAACATTCAAGATGTGGAACTCTACAAACCCTAAACTGAGCAAAAGTGAACTATTTTCCAATTAACTAATAGGTGTCTAGACTAGAAACCGTTTGGCAATTCTGAAGAGGACCATGGCCTATAGATTGGTGGATTCTATACAGTAGGTCTGAATCTAATAATTATGTTTTTATTTGCCTGCTAACCCTTTTTTCAGTTAGCGTGCGTGCGTTAAGGAATACCGCGTGAAACACTCACCACAGAAGTTTTCCTGAAACGATCAGAACGGCCAAAGAAATAGGCCTCATCAAAAGAGGAGTGACTCCCTTTGAGCTTCTCCGAGAGGTTGCGGTAGAGGCGCTTGGCGGCGCTGGGCGAGGAGGGGCCGCTGCTCTTCTTGGCATGTGAGAGGTGCAGGTTCTGCATTTGCTGAGTCATACTGACAGAGAAATTCCTGTGGAGAAGCATGGAAGCCAAAAGTGTAACTTCCCTTCATGGGCTACCACAGGCATGATCATTTTCAACCTTTTCATTCTCTTTCAGCTCAGAAAAAATGGACATGACATGTCTGGAAAGGGATTTCTCATTAAGTTCTCAGAGGTGGAACAGTTAATACACAAAGTAATACTTTCCATGCAGAAAGGGAAAGAAAGAGACACAATTTTTCAACTGTAGAGCCTTCTTCAGGTGTGGTATCTCTTTTTTTTCCCTTTCACCATGGAACAAACATTTACCTGTTCCTTTGCAGCCGACACCTGCTGACACAGCTACTTACATGAGTTTTTTCAAAACAAGAGTTTACCCTTTCTATGACATATTTTATACAGAAAAATGAATAACACCTGATTTGCAAAGATTTGCAACTGGTTTATGGAATATATTCCATCATGTCAAACCTGCCTGCGTGCCTCGCAGTGAACATTCCAGAACAGAGATGAGATCAACATGTTTTTATTTATAACTTTAACTTTTTTGAAAAGGGAAAAATGACAAACAGCAACAGTGTTCATTTGCATTGGATGCTTAAGTTTGTGGGGTTTGTCATGATGCAGTAGTGAAAGTTATAATAGAAACTGGGCTGTTAGCAAGATGTGATCTCATAGAAAGAACATGGAATATACGGACCATGGAATCAAGCTGTGTAGGGTATAGAAGACAGAAAAATCAAGTTCTAAATCTAAAAGTTTAAAAACTAGCCTTGTTATGAAGACTAAATGTAGCTATAAATCACAAAACCAGATTTTCATGACAGACGCTTCAGATCCTGTGCACTTTGGATTACACACAATTGGTCTCAAAGATGGAGAAAGCAATTTGACTTTGCTAGGTTCACATACGAAGCCCCAAAAATTCACAAACAAAAATTGGGACTTCTGTAGGTGCTTCTTTCTACATTTTCCCTCTCCCATGTATTACTAATGTGACATGCCCATAGGCTCTGTAATGTCTGACATGATTAAATTAGCATTGAAAGGTAAGCAAGTGGAAAGTGAGTGGGCACAAAATGTCTGTGTACATTAAAGATGTGTTTTCTCAGAGAAGCGCAGATTTCAGTTTAATACATGCTGGAGTGCAGCAGCTCCCATGCTGGCCTGTGTGAAATGAGACGAGAGGCTCAGCTCTTGCCTGGGGAGAACTGCGCTTGTTATATAACATTATATAACAAGCCACTACAAGATGCTATCTGATTGAATAACCATTCAGGCAGAGCGTGTCTGAAGAAACTGGATACGCTTATTAAATACAGGAAAAATAATATACGCTTTTGCAAGGGGACATAATATTAATAAAATATAGGTATTTAAGAGGTAAAAGGTAAAATAAGGGCAAAGAGGGGGTAGCTGATTATCACCCTTTACAAAACTTTAATAATACACTAAAAGCATATCAGAAAATCGAAAAAACAATACTGAATGAACATTTTGATTTATCATTTTTATCTCTCCTTTTTATGGTTTTACTTTAAAAAATTGAAATCACCATTTTTTTTTCTTTTTATGCAACCAGTTTTGGAACTGCCAATTGTTAAACTATTCATTTTTTAGTTAGAACCATTGTACCAGCATACCAGCACAGGAAAGACCCATAGTTTACAGTCCTTTAAAATATACACATCAACTGCATATTTATATTGAGTAGTTCAAGTACTGTAGGTAGCTGCGTCAGCATGCGTAGGCTGCAAAGCCTGAAGAAGGCTCCACAGCCGAAACATTGAGTTTCCTTTCTTGTTTACTTGTTCCTTTGCATATTTATACTCCAGGTCCTAAAGCTCAGGCAGCAAAGTTATGCATTAGATGGAGGCGAGAGTCAGTACTCACTGATTACACCACTTTAACATACTGTAACTCACTATAACAACACAGGCAGCCAGCAAAGCTGACTGATTTCAGACTCTCCCAAACCTGGCACTGCTCTGCCAGATACACTATGTTCTTCTGTATTCACAACTGGCTAATGATCTATTCCAGGCTGAAACAAGCATTTGTTGTGATACTAGCTGAAATATGTGACCCAAGCAAAAGGTTATGTAAAACGCTGATATAGAGCACCTGATATTGTAAGCACTGGCCAAATGTTGGGAACCTAAACCCAATGTGTTTAGTGCCTCTCTACATGGCAAGCACTGCACTATTTGATTGGCTTCAGGAACAGACTTTCATCGCCTTCATTGGCCAGAACAATGTTCGGCTGTCACTCCAGTTGAAAATAGTAAAACCAGTAGAACCTGCAGTTCAATTCCACACACTATTAACCACATAGAGTGCATGTAGCAGATTCCACTCAAACAATAGTAGGAGATTAGGCTGAATAGATTTATGCTGTTCTTGCTACTGTACTTACAAAGGCTCAATACACTATTCAATAATTTTCCTAATATTTTGGCCAGGGCCTGTATAATTTTTTTAATTAAGTTCAGAATGTTTTCGGATTTACAGATCATCCCTATGAAGAGCACATACAGCACACACATTGGTTATACAGTACAAAATTGAAAAACATCAAAACAAAAACTACATTTTAAAAATCTGCTTTAATTTCCTTTCAGCCGATAGAAGAAAAACAAAATGTTGCAATATAATTGGCGGTGACAAAGCAAACCATCTTTCTTAACATAAGGACAGATTTTTTTATGATTTACATCACCTCAGAGCTCTTCAGCATAACAAATATGAATTTATAAAATTCCCTCTAGATCTGTAGCAAACACAAAGATAAGCTAAATCCAAGTCAAACTCCTTTTCTAAGACAATTGTATCTCTGCAGAGACAAGTAATGCTTCCTAAATTATAAATTGATTGGGAGGTTTATCAAGGCTATAGCTTTACACTGGCATAAAGCTCTGTGGTAACACTTTCATTTTTTAAATGGTTCACAGTTTCATCTTCCTAGATTACATTAATATCTAGAGCACGTAATAAGAGACAGTATTTCAAAGAACTGATAACTGCATGTTTTTCAGCTGAAGTGATGGAAACAATTTTTTTATTTATTAAAGTTTATCACTAAAGAGGTGTAGGTTTGCACATAATTCATCGAAATTAATATAGATTTTCTTAGTGTCTTTGTGGCTTATTACATTTACTGTATATGCGATAAAACAATTTAATTTATCCTGTGGCTGAAATACAAGTAAAACAAAATTAATTTTCTTCATGCTTTTTTTCTTACAATTATAGCACTAATTTTCAAACTCTACAGACACTTGATAGTCCCTATCACTCAATAGTTTACAGTCACATGATAAGGGAATGAATACAAGCTACAATAATGTTTATGAATCAGATGAAGCATCAGTCATACGGTAGCTTAGACTGCTATGCAGTGAACAAAAGAATCCTAAGCACTGATGCACTTTGAAAAGTTCCACATTTCTGGACAAATGAGGTTAGTAAACACAATCAGGAGCTACAAATATAAGAAAGGTTACTATTGGGAGGAGGCCATTTGGGTCTTCTAGGCTATCTGGAATTTTGTAGTTAATTGATCCAAGAATCTCATCCCACTGTTGCTTGAAAGAAACCAGGGTATCGACATCAACAACAAAGATTGACTGCTTGCTCCATACCCCCTCAACCCTTTGAGGAAATAAGTGCCTCCTGTTTTGGGTTTTAAATGTAGTACTTCCAACTTCCAAAAAGAATGCAAGGCATTGGATATTCAACAGCCAAGAAATTAAGACATTATAATTAACGTACTGTATATGCCAGCAAGAGATGTGAATGGTGATTGAGATTTTAATGAAAGTTAAGGATGGCAGCCAACAAGTAAACTCTGCTACTGTAACTCAAAATATCACAACAAAAATTAACACCTATATTAGACTGGAGAGCAATTTGGGCATCTAGATAGCCCGAGCAATGAAGGACATGCATATCATGTCAACCTTTCCAAGATTAACCAGGAGGGACTGTTTCAATTTAAACCAACAGTCATCTAAAGAGGGCATTATTCTAAAATAAAATATTGAGCCATGTTATAAGAAAAAAAGCAGACTATATATCACAGCTTCTGGTCTATTCAGTAAAGAGAGAAATTTGTTGAGCAAGTAAAAGCTTTGACGTTCTTCAGAATTTGAGCAAGTATGTCCAGTTCTGGGATTCATCATATTAATTGTGTCGATTCTTCAGACCAATATTGGTTATACCTTGCATAAGGAAAAGTTTAGAACTACACTATTTGTCATGCACGGGTGAATGAGATTGGGCAGACTTTCTATTAGACTGGTTGTCTTCCAATTAGGCAGACAATCTAGCTCTTAATCAGCTCCAAAGGTGATTACAGTATTTAAGGTAGTTTTCCCCCACTGATCAGTACTTTGACATTTGACCAAAGCGACTTATCCGCTTTCCAAAAATAAAAGCTTTTTTCTCAGATACGTCTTAGAGTACTGATCCAGTGGACACTCAGCTTCAACCTAGCTAACAATTACCAGCCTCCCAATCTGCTCAATCCGTTGATTTCCCCCTATTTTTCTCTAGCTGGTTTCGCTGTCATTTTTCAAAAACACCCCCATTCCCCCTTTACCAGCGCTGAAAACCAGTCAGCTTTTTTCCCCGCTGGACTTCAGCTATCACTCAGCTCACCCAGCTACCTCACATCTCCATTCATCAGCTTCATTCAGCCTGCCTGCTTCTTCTCTCATCATGATCCACACACAACACAGCCACTCTCTCTCCAAGCCTCTCCAGAAAACCTCAAAGAGCACTCCGAGTTCTGTGCTTGGGCTTCGGCCTCTCATTCGGCCTCTCTGGCAACACTGTAAGGATCATGTTTTTCGACTTCTCCAGTGCCTTCAATACCATCCAGCCCTTACTTCTAAGGAGGAAGCTGGAGGAGATGCAAGTCGATGCCTCCATGACCT